ATTTAAGGATATATTGTTTGTGTTGAATTAGATTCAAGACATTTTGCTGTATAATAAACCAAATATGACTTTCCAACATAACATTCCTAATCTGCACAGTTAGATCAGCTAATGTGAAAAGAGGATTTATTGATACATCAGAAACAATTTTATCCTCAGTTTACTATAGCACAAATGATTCCTGCATCAATAATATTCTCAGAAGATACAACGTGCAACAAACACTTACCATGCTTACCCATATTGACATAGCTTTTAACCCTGCATTGACTCATATGTTAATTCCATATCATGGATGGAAATAGTATTCCATGCACAGTAGATATTGAAATGGCATGGATGAATTTTTTTCAGTGTGCTCTGGCGGCACAAATACAATTATGAACAGAATACACACCATGATTCAGTTAATGGAAAATGGGATAAATTTGACCAACTGAAATGATTTAAAACCCATTTTTGCACCCCATCACTGACTGACTGAGTTTAGTTTTACGTCGCTTTTAGCAATATTCCAGCAATATCACGGCGGGGGACACCAGAAATGGGCTTAACACATTGTGCCCATGTGGGGAATCGAACCCGGGTCCTCGGCTTGAAGAGCCAACGCTTTAACCACTAGGCTACCCCACCGCCCCTGCACCCCATCAAACTGTTTATTGTTGGCACACTCAAAATCACAGCTTCACAAGGTCGTGGACATTTTGAATGCCAGTGTGCACAAAAGGAAATCCTGTTTAGGATGATTACATAGTTTGTGTGTTAGTTTTATGGGTCCTGGCCCCGATTTCTCGAAACAAACTTAAGTCTGAGTTTTGACTTAAGTTTGAGTTTTAACTCAAATTTGAAAAAACGCAGGTAAATGCATTTCCCAGAATGAACTGGAATCGATATTAAACTCAAATTTAGTAGACAATTTGATTTTGGTGGATAGATTTCTGAAGTTGTTTGGGCTTTTTTATTGCAAAAATTCAGTTGAGTTAAAAATTCAGCTGTTTCAAATTGTCAAACTGAGTTTGAATTTTGAGTAAAAACTTAAGTTTGTTTCAAGAAATCGGGGCCAGGACAAACAACCAGTCCCGACAAGGTTCAGGAAATCCTGCATTCAGGTTTACATGATGTTTACTGATGTAATGAATTATACAATAATTGACATAATTGTTGTTTGATTGGATTATCAAAAGACATGGGCACATATAAAATAAAAATAATTTCACAAAGGCACACCTGAATTATCTGCATGCTGCCCTGATTGTATTTCTCTCCCTGAATATCGTTTCACACATGGAACATATAAAACAGCAAAGGAATGACAATGACAACAAGTGCTCTAACTACTTTTGAATACACTACTGTACACTTATTCTTTAAATGCTAAAATTATATTGTACAATGTAAATAATTTTAAAACTTCATTCTCCTCTTTCTAACTGGTGTTGACACATGTTTTGTCTGCAACAAAGTGTTCTATTTTTAATTTGAAGACCTGGGCCTCCTTTCACAAATCACTAAGGTGATTGTAAGTCTCTAAGGTAACCTTAGTGCAATGTTAAAGAATGGTAGTTGAGGTTAACCTTAGTAAAGGTTGCTTCGTGAAAGCAGCCCCAGATATTCAGGGTGTTTGAAGCAACAAATAATTAATATTGTGATACCAATAATGAATAAGTGTGACACACATGTTTATCACATATGTTGATCCAATATATACTCATAGAAATGAATAAGGGAACACATGAAAGTACAAGTGTTCCTTTATTCTTTTCCAGAATTTCACCTGCTATAGACAATACAAAGCTTGTCAGAAGAAACCGGGAAAAGAATAAAGGAACACTTGTACTTTCAGGTGTTCCTTTTTTCATTTCCATGAGTATAGTTTTAATGGAATGTGTTATCACAGTTATCTTGGGTCAGAAGCCGTTTACCAGTAAGGAAACAGAAGGATCTTGTTAGAGGGATATACATAATCAGATAGCTTATCAGAGCTCACATACCACAGCAATCAAGTCTTGGCCCAGTTATATCTTTAATATACATAAGCAGCATCTCTGATGATGTTTGGTGATGACACAATACAAGAAACTCGGCTGATGACATGCGCATCATTGAAACTAGTCTTAAAGAAGATCTTACTGCACTTATTTCAGGATGGGGCACACAAACGGCTCATCACATTAAACCCTTCCAAAACAAAATTTATTGTGTTCATTCACAAACATCTACCAGTATATCATATCTATGTCAGAACAACAAACATTGTGTTTCATACCTATCACATGAAACTTAATGGACTCAACACATTAAAAATATTTTAAGATCAGTCCTTCAATTTGTATAAAGTACAAAGTGAAGAAGTTAACACTATACAGAATCTGTCCTTCCACATAAGACAAGTGGGTGATAACTGCACCAGTTTATACTATAGGAACCTGTCTTGAATTATCACCGCTTGAACAAGGGTTGTGAGTTGTTGTTTCCGCCATTTACGAGTCTATATTACATTGTCTACGTACAAAACTGGCTGAGCACTTATCAGGACAGGTTCAGATGAAGTCAGTGCTCATCATATATGTTTGACTTATTTCCCACCAACACTTGTTCTAGTTACTTATTATAATTTGCATCATAAAAAACAGACAACCTTGTGATAACAGAAAATGTCAAATGAAAGAATTCTTCCAAAATCAGAAAGATATACTCACTGCTCCAATATTATACTGCCTCTGAATCTATACTGAGACTCTATTTTGTACTGCTATATTGATACCTTTGTAATTATTTGTATGGATTTGTGAACTTAGTTAAGGCCAGACAAATTTTATTTCTTGTTTTACAATTTTTTGTCCTCAGAAAACCTAAAGGCAGGTGTGAAAACTTTTTCTTTTTTTTAAATCACCAGTCAAAGTAATATTCCTTTTAAATACTAAAAGTATTTTACTTTAGGCAATTTATGATGTGTATATGGAGCAGAAAACAATCTAAAAAGAATGTTCATGTAAGTTTACATTTTGGCCAAGAAAAACATTAGAATTTTATTTTTTGAGTGGGGAACATTAAAAAACAAAATTCTTATTCTTGAAAAAATATGACCAGCGGATCCATAAAACGAGAAATAAAATTGGTCTGGCCTAAGTTTAGAATACAGTTGACCCTTACATCACATGTCTTAGTTCTTTCATGAACTGATTGCTGATTTACATTTTAGTTTCAACTTGGGACTGGGAGGCAACAAGTAACAATACAAAGGGAACTTCATTGTTGCACAGTTAATATGCACATGCATTTCCTGTGTACTAAAGTTAATAATCGTACATACAATACACATTTACATAAGTGGATTTTTAAATATTTAAGTTGGTTGGTTAGTTTGTTGTTTTACACCGCACTCCGCAATATTCCAGCTATATGGTGGCGGTCTATAAATAATCAATCCAGTGGTCAATAGCTTGAGCATCGACCTACGAATCTGGGACGCAATGACATGTGTCAAACAAGTCAGTGAGCCTGACCATCTGATCCCGGTGTTTTTCAACTGACATGACATGAGTAAATATCAAGGTACAAAACATAGAAGTGCCATAAAAATCAATCTCAGTCACCACACCATCCACCATCAGAAATCGTAAAATGCTTGCTCTGATGGGATACTTTATCAAAGTCGGACTAGAGTGAGAAAGTGGGTGGGTGAGCGGGTAAGTGAGTGAGGGAGGTTCGAGGGATGTTTTGCACAGCTTTTCACAATATTCCAGCAATATCACGGCTGGGGAAATGGGACTAGAACCATCGGGGATATTCCAAAATAACAGAATCTAATGGGGTTCCACCTCCATTGTGTTTCCTTGTTTTTGTATAAGAAATCAATTAACACACACCTCTTGGTGTGTAAGACCCGTGCAAATCCGGGTCAGAATATTGATCTTCAGTAACCCATGCTTGTCGTACGAGGCGACAAACGGGATCGGGTGGTCAGGCTCGCTGACTTGGTTGACACGTCATCGGTTCCCAATTACGCAGATCGATGCTCATGCTGTTGATCACTGGATTGTCTGGTCAAGACTCGATAATTTACAAACCGCCGCCGTATAGCTGGAATATTGCTGAGTGCGGCGTAAAACTAAACTCACTCACTCACTCTTGGTGTGTAAACACTGTCAAAAGTTTATATCTGCTGTCCTGCAGATACAGTCCGTTCCGTTTCTGCGGTTTCACCCCGCCGCGATAGATAACAACTTTTGCGTTTTCAATGATGATAGTTTCTAAAACAACTTTTTTGGTGGAGTCCGGGAAATTTTCAAATATAAGAAAGCTGTTGGGTATTAGTAAATGATAAACATGTGTACTATTTATATTTATGTGGCAATTTTGTACAATAATAAAATTTGCAATTCATCGGTCCGTTTCTGACTCAAACGGACTGTAGTTGCCAATTCTCATGTCACACTCAGTCACACCTGCCGGCAGCTAGACTGTCTCACGACAGCTAATGTGACCTCAGCAGCAGTTTTAGACTGCTGGGTTGATCATGTAGCCATCGATCAGTGGCCTTTTGTAATTCCACTGTTGAACTACAATGAGCTTCTACTGATGTTTATTATCATGTTTCAACAGATAATGCATCTGTCAAATCATTTAGTCAGTCATTAAACATTCACACTTTAAGTATTACAACAGCAGCTGTCAAATTCATAAACATTAGTTGCACTGAACATCTTGACCCTGATGTTCATCAAAGCCATAGATGTCAATCCCATTGATCCCAATAATAATGTCTTCAGATTTCATGATAAAAATTGCGGACAGGATCTCGTAAGTAGATCACATTTTCCAGTCCTTTTGTGATTTGTCAGTAAAAAATTTAACCCGCCACATATTTCGGGATCTCAAACATTTTATGATATCCTTTAAGTTGAACTTCAGACACCAAAAACTTAATTTGTGAGGTCAATATACAGGACCTAAATATTAGTAATAAAACATAGGTAATTCATAGATCAATCACATACCTTCCTTTTGTCCTGGTTTAACAAGAGGTTGTTTTTCGTCTGTGTTGGCCATTGATCTGTGAGCTTCACTTCCACAGGTCCACTGTCAGTCGCTATCTAGCAGCTATGTTGGCAGACCTGAAATACAGCGTCGTCTGATGCCCGAGTTTCATGCAAATTTGCACTTAATAAAAAGTTATCAATTTAGTATGCTCAACCTTGAACTTTCAAGTGGTGATAACGACCAATTGATCAGTCTTGTGTGGCGTGGTTTGTTTTCTTGTCACAGTGTGTGGAGTTGAACTTTGACAGTTCTGTTATCATTGGATGCACGTGACACAATGCAAAACAAACGCATGACAGAAGTAAGCTGGGCCCTGTCTCTAAGTTAGCGCATAGAAAGAAGGGAACCACATTAGAATTTGGATCTCCCCTTTATCGCGTAAGTGGCGAGCAAGTGGGTTTTTCCAAGCTCTAACAGCGACTACTTCACTCACTCCTACTTCATCCATAAAGGCGGGTGTACTTCAAACTCCTGAGCAGTGCCGTTTCGCGAATCACGTGCAACTAAATCAACATCAACATACAGTATGTCACAATAATAGAGGATGTCATGTGCTTCCTTTCAGCTCTTCTCGCTTGGTGCTCTTTTCAGATCTGTGAAATTATGGGTTAACCTTTACACAATCAGCAATCTGCGGATCTTTGTAAAACCTACCTCTGACTTATAGAGCCGCTCTGGATGGATTTTGATATCCAGTCACAGAGTGAGTGACGCCGTATATAGAGTCTATACGACGTTGTCCATAACCAAACAGGAGTCCGGTCTTGACAGGGCATTTACCGAGGCACGGTCGGTTTTGCATCTCATTGACATAGCTTTAACTAGCAAAACAATAATTTCAGATCTTGTGAATCATAACCAGCTGGTAACAGGTGCATCCGATAAACCACGACAGGACTCGTTCATGCAGGTATACAAGTATCATGTCTTATACTCCATCACATTCCGAGTCAGAAAATGAAGAAAACCGACCATTGATCCAGAATAATGGTACAGAAGCAAGACAGAGAGAAGAGGGTATTTATTTGTTGATTATTTTACGAGTCTAACATCTTTTATGTTTATTTTAATCATTTCATCTGATGTCAGTTCCAAACAGGAAAAAGGTTTCTAAAGTGATTTAGAATATATTACAGATAATAATTGTATGTTTTGTAACATTTTAGTCATCAGTTTGTGTCACAGCCTGCTTGCCCAGCATCTGGCATTGTAGATATGGGCATTTCTGTACAGAAACCTCGAGACCAGTGGAATTAATTTTCTTGTTCACACAAATAATGACACTCTGGAATTTGTTCTTTTGAGTGACATTTAGAAACTGGTGTGATGGACAGGAATGATTTCATCACTTGCTTGATAAAGGCGTTATGCCGTCTACACCGAAAAGTCACATCCATTGTAATAAAGTTGTCTATCCATAAAAAATTGTTCCTGTTTATTCTAGAATTTGTTCAAGATCTCATTTTAAATATGGGTATATAATTCCAAAAATGTCACAGATGTTTGAAACAGTTAAAATGGTACTTGTTGTTACCCTGGCTGTCTGGTTGGCGCTGAATGTAATATGTGCGAATATGGTATCACAATACAGAGTATGGTATCACATACAGAGTATGGTATCACAACACAGTATGGTATGGGGCGGTGGGGTAGCCTAGTGGTTAAAGTGTTGGCTCGTCACGCCGAGGATCCGGGTTCGATTCCCCACATGGGCACAATGTGTTAAGCCCATTTCTGGTGTCCCCCGCCGTGATATTGCTGGAATATTGCTAAAAGCGGCGTAAAACTAAACTCAGTCAGTCAGTCAGTATGGTATCACAACACAGAGTATTGTATCACATACAGAGTATGGTGTCACATACAGAGTATGGTATCACATACAGAGTATGATATCACAACACAGAGTATGATATCACAACACAGAGTATGGTATCACAACACAGAGTATGATATCACAACACAGAGTATGATATCACAACACAGAGTATAGTATGGTATCACAACACAGAGTATGGTATCACAACACAGAGTACACACAGAGTATGATATCACAACACAGAGTATGGTATCACAACACAGAGTATGGTATCACAACACAGAGTATGGTATCACAACACAGAGTATGGTATCACAACACAGAGTATGGTATCACAACACAGAGTATGGTATCACAACACAGAGTATGGTATCACAACACAGAGTATGGTATCACAGTACACAGAGTATGGTATCACAACACAGAGTATGGTATCACAACACAGAGTATGGTATCACAACACAGAGTATGGTATCACAACACAGAGTATGGTATCACAACACAGAGTATGGTATCACAACACAGAGTATGATATCACAACACAGAGTATGATATCACAACACAGAGTATGGTATCACAACACAGAGTATGATATCACAACACAGAGTATGATATCACAACACAGAGTATGGTATCACAATACAGAGTATGATATCACAATACAGAGTATGGTATCACAACACAGAGTATGGTATCACAATACAGAGTATGGTATCACAATACAGAGTATTTTATCACATCACAGCTGATGACTAAGGCCCACATGTTTTACTATTCCATGAGGCAACAGCTGCATCCAAGTGATTTCTGTCAACACACACAAGTAGGATTATTTATAGAAGAGCTGGTATAAAAACTGCTTTGGTAGTTCTGGTGTTCGTTGAGACCTCAGAGGCTACAGTCTAACTACACTAAAATTCTAATCTTCACTCTTGTTTTAGGTGTCATTGTTGAATTTCACTGCCAAAGTGTGATTCAAATCTCACTGAAATTTGAACTTTTTGAGGGGAGAAGTTGGGGTAGTATGTGATTGGAAAACATTAAGTATTTGGCTCTTGGAAATAAGTTCTATACATATATATCTGTTCTTTTACTGTTGAGTGTAATTTTGTTTTTGGCCAAGTGAGTGAATGAGTGAGTTTAGTTTTACGCCACTTTTAGCAATATTTGAGCAGTATCACGGCAGGGAACACCAGAAATGGGCTTTACACCTTGTACCCATGTGGGGAATAGAACCCGGGTCTTCGGCGTGACGAGCAAGTGAACCACTAGGCTACCCCAGCCCCCATTTTTGGCCAAGATATCTTTATGACAAAATAACTCTATATTTCTTCTTTTGCGTAATGACAAAGTTTGGTCATACGAAATCAGGTATTGAATATGGACACACAAATTAGTTTTGACCCCTGAGGTTGCACTTCAAGGTTATATAAGTATGGTGCTGTCATAGAAACAGTGAAGTGACACATGCTATTTCTGTTGAATGAGCATTAGGACTGTAACTGTATTCTCCTCAAAAGACTGACTGAGTTTGGTTTTACGCCGCTTTTTAGCAATATTCCAGCAACATCACGGCGGGGGACACCAGAAATGGGCTTCACACATTGTACCCATGTGGGGATTAGAACCCGGGTCTTCAGCGTGACGAGCCAACGCTTTAACCACTAGACTATCCCACCGCCCCTTCTCCTCAAAAGAAGATACACCTTTTTTTTTTCATTTGACTTTTGTTAATATTTCGTGTCATGATAAAATATTTATCTCTTAATTTGTCGTGTCATTATGGAAATCCATTGATACAGGGAGAGTGGAAACAATTTGAGGTTCCTTTTCTTTTCCCTTCTGCATGTTCTCTATAACCATAGCCATGACAGTATTGTTTGTCGACAGCATCATGTCAGTGGATTCAGGCAAGGCATGTCTTGGCACTCATGGCCTTCATTGGGTTCTTCAATGTCTACTGTCTTCGCGTCAACCTTAGTATGGCACTGGTTGCCATGGTGAACACATCTTCCACCGCTACCAACAATGACTCCATCTCCCAATGCAAACCGTTGTACAACACGTCAAGTCCTTCACAAAATGTATGTACAGAGTTGCTTGTTTGGAATCATTTCATTACATATCTATCACAAATATATTTTTGATTGTCTATTTTTATTGAGTATATCAATGAAAAAGTAAGGAAAGTGTTGCATTTTTTAGGAGATGGATTTAATTCTAATTCTGCATATGGGCATGGTAGTAAAATTACAAACCTAATACCAATCTGTTGGTCAGGAGCACCTCAAAATGAAGTCCCTGAACCCTAAGGCTCTGTGAAAATGTTGACGTTTGCCAGATTTTACTTATGAAACACCACAATTCATTGTACCAAATTGGATAAATGTTATCAAATTGAAGCTCAACAAAATTTCTGTGTGGGGCAACCCCAACACAGGGTTTGTCAGGAACAATGAAGCATTCTTGTATACTGTCTCCTATGTAAGGCTGGTGTGGCAGCCATATGTTACAAATGCATATGTAAGTAGATTTCAACATTATAACCATATCTGCGTTTACCAAAATAATCTCATGAACCTGACAACAGGTATGGCGAGCGAGCTGTTTAAGGTGCCAGGCTAGTGATCTAGCAAGCTTGAGGTGCCGGGATCAAGCCCACCTGTGACAGGGTGTAAAAACCTTTAAGTCAACTTTGTGTGCAGACTCTTTCAGTGTTGTCACAACCCGTAGTGTACAGTGCACAACCCTGTGCACTTAAAAGAGCCCATGAATCCGTTGGTAAATGACCATATGGTATCACATGAATGCGCGCAAACACCTACTGGGAATTCCTGTATTTAATTTTAAGCCCATGCAAAATTTAGCCCATGGGCTAAAATACAGGATTTTTTTCCTTATATAAGCCCATGGGCTTAAATTTGGATTAAATTCTTGGGTGTTTAGATTGAGGGTCCCTTTCTAAACGTGGAGACTTTGACTCTGAATAGTGTCACTTTCAGTCAGTCACTCCTGTCATATTAGTTTGATGTTCATGTTTTGCATTAAATAGACTGTTAATGTCATCATTTTCATAACTTTCAATTTTGAATTTATAGATCAGTTTCCTGATTAGAGAGTTAAAAAAAATCCTGATTGTTTTCATTTTTATCAAAATATTGTTCATTTTCAAATTTAAGCCCTGGGCTTAAATATGGTTAAAATAAAATATCACTAGAACTGTGATTTTCCAGTAGTTGTGGGTACAGCAACGTGCAGTAAACTTGGACAATTTTACTTAGTAGTGTGACTATATGTCCCAGTCCACCCAGCTGTGAATGGGTACCTCGTAAGTATGGGAAAGCCACAATAACTTGGTGCGCCTACTGGCTACAAGAGTTGTATGCTCCCCAGGGAGTTGAGATTGATAATACGATGTGCTGTTGAGATTGACATCCAATGATCAAGGGAAAAACCCAGCGCCTTGAGCATGTACTAGTTGGGTGGATATGTGCGCTATAAGTATTCTAAATATCCTATAATAGTATAATAATATAGAACAAACACATTCTAGTGTGATTTTTATGGACAAAGTGTTTCATAGATGAAGATTGTTTTAAGAATGTGAATTACAATGTAATTTCACATATAACCTGTGTTACATTTGATCACCTTCTAAATGGCATTGTGGCAATACTGTACAGCCATTTGTAGACGGAATGACAATACAGATCTAATTATGATCATATGACAAAATATTCAGCTGATGAATTTTCACCACAGCATCTGTAAAGGAAAAACTGGACTACAATGTTCACTTGGATAGTCAGTGTAAGTAGTTGTGTTCAGTTTACTGAGTGTAGGTGAATGATTGCAGATTGGAGAGTTCAATTGGGATGAACAGACACAAGGCTTCATCCTTGGTGCCTTCTTCTATGGTTACGTCACGACACAGGTGCCGGGAGGATTCCTGGCAGAGAAATATGGGGCCAAGCGTATCTTTGGATTTGGAGTTCTGTCCACATCAGTCCTCACACTGTTCACACCTCTAGCAGCCCGCTGGCACCTCTACGCTTTCTACGCCCTCAGAATCCTGGAGGGAATAGGGGAGGTAATTCCAGTATTTCCTTTTTCACTGACATCTTCTTGAATCTTTGTTTTTGGCAGCATTAAAATCTTTTGATTTAACTGATGTACATATTCATTACATATTCATTCATCGGCAATAAAATTAGAAGGGTCGGTCGGGCGATGAGAAACACAAAAATAAAAATGCTGCCCATATTCTCACTCACTCAGCTGTACCTTATAATGATGATAGTCAAATCTAAATGTAGGGTGGATGAAACAAATAGTTGCCTTAAACAAAGGCATAAAGTGACACAGAAAAACACATGCGGAAGGATTAAAGCAACTAATTGTGTTTCAGTCTTTCCCTGGCTAGTGGTCAAAGGATGACAGGGTGCTGAGTTACATCCATTGGCTTATTAACAATTATTCTGTGCATTATATCTCCTATTCATGAGCTTGAAATCATCCACCAATGAAAACGTCTCACTAAAGCTTAGAGAGGTTAACATAGCAGCGATAAAAAAAAGTCGAGACCCTGCAACGTATAAAAAAAAGTCAGACCATGGATGATGGACTTTTGTGTGGAAGAGATGTTTCCATAGGAAGGAGGGAAGTTCTTATGCTGCAAGGCTTGTTGACTTGATGAATATAGAGTGATTTCATTTGTGTGACGTTTCCTGCCATGTGATATGTTCCAGGGTGTGACGTTTTCTGCCATTATATTCCAGGGTGTGACGTTTCCTGCCATGTGATATGTTCCAGGGTGTGACATTTCCTGCCATGTGATATGTTCCAGGGTGTGGCGTGCCACATTTCCAGGGTGCGTTTGTGCTGTATGTTCCAGGGTGTGGCGTTTCCTGCCATGTGATATGTTCCAGGGTGTGACATTTCCTGTGATATTTCCTGCCATGTGATATGTTCCAGGGTGTGACATTTCCTGCCATGTGATATGTTCCAGGGTGTGAGGGTGTTTCCTGCCATGTGATATGTTCCAGGGGTGTGACATTTCCTGCCATGTGTGATATGTTCCAGGGTGTGACATTTCCATGTGATATGTTCCAGGGTGTGGCATTTCCTGCTGATGTGATATGTTCCCAGGGTGTGACATTTGGTGTGATATGTTCCTGCCATGTGTGATATGTTCCAGGGTGTGACGTTTCCTGCCATGTGATATGTTCCAGGGTGTGACATTTCCTGCCATGTGATATGTTCCAGGGTGTGACATTTCCTGGGTGTGACATTTCCTGCCATGCGCTATCTGATATGTTCCAGGGTGTGACATTTCCTACCATGTGATATGTTCCAGGGTGTGACGGTGTGATATGTTCCAGGGTGTGACATTTCCTACCATGTGATATGTTCCAGGGTGTGGCGTTTCCTGTATCTGATATGTTCAGGGTGTGGCGTTTTCTGCCATTATATTCCAGGGTGTGACGCTTCCTGCTGTGTGATATGTTCCAGGGTGTGGCGTTTCCTGTGAAATGTTCCAGGGTGTTGAGTTTCCTCCGCCATGTGATGTTCCTGGTTGTGACATTTTGCCATGTGATATGTTCCTGGGTGTGACATTTCCTGCCATGTGATATGTTCCTGTGACATTTCCAGCTGTGTGATGTTTCCAGGGTGTGATGTTTCCTGCTGTGTGATATGTTCCTGGGTGTGACGTTTCCTACCATGTGATATGTTCCTGGGTGTGACATTTCCTACCATGTGATATGTTCCTGGGTGTGACATTTCCTACCATGTGATATGTTCCTGGGTGTGACATTTCCTACCATGTGATATGTTCCTGGTTGTGACATTTCCTGCTGTGTGATTTGTTCCAGGGTGTGACATTTCCTGCTGTGTGATTTGTTCCAGGGTGTGACATTTCCTGCCATGTGATATGTTCCTGGGTGTGACATTTCCTACCATGTGATATGTTCCTGTGATATGACATTTCCTGCTGTGTGATTTGTTCCAGGGTGTGATGTTTCCTGCTGTGTGATATGTTCCTGGGTGTGACATTTCCTGCTGTGTGATTTGTTTCCTGTGACATATGTTCCTGCTGTGTGATATGTTCCTGGTGACGCTTCCTACCATGTGATATATTCCTGGGTGTGACATTTCCTACCATGTGATATGTTCCAGGGTGTGGCGTTTCCTGCTATCTGATATGTTCCAGGGTGTGACGTTTTCTGCCATTATATTCCAGGGTGTGACGTTTCCTGCTGTGTGATATGTTCCAGGGTGTGACGTTTCCTGCCATGTGAAATGTTCCAGGGTGTTGAGTTTCCTGCTCTCTGATATGTTCCTGGTTGTGACATTTCCTGCCATGTGATATGTTCCTGGGTGTGACATTTCCTACCATGTGATATGTTCCTGGGTGTGACATTTCCTGCTGTGTGATTTGTTCCAGGGTGTGATGTTTCCTGCTGTGTGATATGTTCCTGGGTGTGACATTTTGCCTGTGATATGTTCCAGGGTGTACGTTCCTACCATGGATATGTTCCTGGGTGTGACATTTCCTACCATGTGTGATATGTTCCTGGGTGTGACATTTCCTACCATGTGATATGTTCCTGGGTGTGACATTTCCTACCATGTGATATGTTCCAGGGTGGCGTTTCCTACCATGTGACATGTTCCTGCTGTGTGATATGTTCCAGGGTGTGACATTTCCTACCATGTGATATGTTCCAGGGTGTGACGTTTCCTGCTATGTGATATGTTCCTGGGTGTGACATTTCCTACCATGTGATATGTTCCTGGGTGTGACATTTCCTGCTGTGTGATTTGTTCCAGGGTGTGATGTTTCCTGCTGTGTGATATGTTCCTGGGTGTGACATTTCCTGCTGTGTGATTTGTTCCAGGGTGTGACATTTCCTGCTGTGTGATATGTTCCTGGGTGTGACGTTTCCTACCATGTGATATATTCCTGGGTGTGACATTTCCTACCATGTGATATGTTCCAGGGTGTGGCGTTTCCTGCTATCTGATATGTTCCAGGGTGTGACGTTTTCTGCCATTATATTCCAGGGTGTGACGTTTCCTGCTGTGTGATATGTTCCAGGGTGTGATGTTTCCTGCCATGTGAAATGTTCCAGGGTGTTGAGTTTCCTGCTCTCTGATATGTTCCTGGTTGGGACGTTTCCTGCCATGTGATATGTTCCTGGGTGTGACATTTCCTGCTGTGTGATATGTTCCAGGGTGTGATGTTTCCTACCATGTGATATGTTCCTGGGTGTGATGTTTCCTGCTGTGTGATATGTTCCTGGGTGTGACATTTCCTGCTGTGTGATATGTTCCAGGGTGTGACGTTTCCTACCATGTGATATGTTCCTGGGTGTGACATTTCCTGCTGTGTGATATGTTCCAGGGTGTGACGTTTCCTACCATGTGATATGTTCCTGGGTGTGACATTTCCTGCTGTGTGATATGTTCCAGGGTGTGGCGTTTCCTACCATGTGATATGTTCCTGGGTGTGACGTTTCCTACCATGTGATATGTTCCTGGGTGTGACATTTCCTACCATGTGATATGTTCCAGGGTGTGGCGTTTCCTGCTGTGTTATATATTCCAGGGTGTGACGATTCCTGCCATGTGATATGTTCCAGGGTGTGACGTTTCTTGTCATGTGATATGTTCCAGGGTGTGACGTTTCCTGTCATGTGATATGTTCCTGGGTGTGGAGTTTCCTACCATGTGATATGTTCCAGGGTGTGACGTTTCCTGCTATGTGATATATTCCAAGGTGTGACGTTTCCTGCTGTGTGATATGTTCCAGGGTGTGACGTTTCCTGCCATTGTGTTCCAGGGTGTGACGTTTCCTTCCATTATGTTCCAGGGTGTGACATTTCCTGCCATTATGTTCCAGGATGTGACGTTTCCTGCCATGTTATATATTCCAGGGTGTGACGTTTCCTTCCATTATGTTCCAGGGTGTGACGTTTCCTGCTATGTGATATTTTCCAGGAGGTGACGTTTCCTTCCATTATGTTCCAGGGTGTGACATTTCCAGCTATGCATGCGATGTGGGGGAACTGGGCCCCGGTCTGGGAGCGGAGTAAACTTGCAGGTTTCTCCTACTCAGGTGTGTACAGACTGCCCCCAGCAGTCACCAGGAACAGACTACATTTGTATATGTCAGTTTGTTTGGAGATATCTTTCAACTGCAAGACTCATTTGTTGTCCCAATCAGATATACATGTTGACAAAATTCTGGAAAAACTGGAAATACAGTGACCTTTGTTCATATAGGAGATAATGAATTTAGAGTGACAAGGATATTTTAGTGCAGTTGTGACATCTGAAAGGTTTGTATTAAGGTGGGAGGTCAGTCTTCTACCCACGTTGTTGATATCACACATTAAGAAAATGAAATGTATACTATTCATATTTGTAGATAAGCAGGTTTCTAATCCCTTGTTACAAAATCAACCAATCAGAATCTTTTCACATTCTTTTTTGTTAAATTTTAGATCATATACAAATGTATAACTTGTTTCAATTATTTTCATCAACAACTATAGTCCGTTTGCAGTGAAAACGTACCAATGAATTTCAAAAAAGTAAATCAAATAAAGTGAAATTAAGATTGCGAATCCTCATAATTTTACCTTGCCAATTGAACTTTCAAATCTCAGAATTTTATTCAGCACATTAAATGAAACCCCGAGAACAAGAAGGGTTGGTTTCTACGGTAGTCTAACTTAACGCTCATCACGCACCACACGTGCATTTGTTTCACTGTTCCAACTACCGCACGTACCCCCTTGTAATACAAACCAATAATAGCAATTTGAAACTATGAATATTTGTTAAACAGCTTTTATCCTAAGCTGAATAAAATTCTGAGATTTAAAAGTTCAATTGGCAAGGTAAAATTATGAGGATTCGCAATCTTCATTTGACTTTATTTGATTTACTTTTTTGTTTAAAGTGAAATTCATCGGTACGTTTTCACTGCAAACAGACTATAGCTATGTATCAAAATCATTCTACAACCCTTCACACCATTTTGAGCACAATTAAAAGAATATTCATACTTCTTTCATCAAACTATAGTGGATTTTTCTTCACCCACCTTTTGTTTAAGGGAGATTTACTATCGTTTTCAGGATCTTGGCTTGGAACAGTGGTCTCAATGCCCATATCTGGAGTGCTGTGTGTGTCGAACATTCTTGGGGGGATGGCCGTCAGTCTTCTATATATTTGGTGAGCCTATATATATTTGGTGAGTCTGTTGTATAACATCTGTATTACTCCACTCCGCAGTATTCCAGGTGAATAGTCCCACAGCCTGTAAATGTCTGGACAAGACAATCCAGTAGTTCCGATTATGGTAAACTATGCAGGTCTACAATGTCACATAATGAACAAAGCCCGACCACCGGATCAATGTTTAGTAGCCAGCAACATAGGTGGAGTGAGTGAGTGAGTTTAGTTTTACGCCACACTCAGCAATATTCCAGCTATATGGCGGCGGTGGGTAAATAATCGAGACTGGACCAGACAATCCAGTGATCAACAGCATGAGCATCGATCTGCTTAATTGGGAACCGATGACATGTGTCAACCAAGTCAGCGAGCCTGACCACCCGATCCCGTTAGTCGCCTCTTACGACAAGCATAGTCGCCTTTTACGACAAGCATGGGTTACTGAAGACCAATTCTAACCCGGGACCTTCACGGGTCAACATAGGTGGACAGGTACTAGGCATGGAATGGCTAGCTCACGTGCTCGGGTAGGTCCTGAGTAGGACATAGATACCCACAGGGCTAGCATAATTAGTTAAGTACCTAGATAATTATAGGTTCAGGAAGATATGAGGTGTGTCTGCTCTATGACAGGTGCTGTAAGCTGTGTATGGGTGCTGGCCTGGTTCTGTCTGATACACGAAACACCAGCTGACCATCCTCGTATTTCAAAATCAGAGAAGGAGTATATCGAGAACTCTATCGGGAAAAGGGAGGTAAGTGTGCACGTCACAGAATGTGAGTGAGTGAGTTTAGTTTTACGCCGCTTTTAGCAATATTCCAGCAATAGCATGACGAGGGACACCAGAAATGGGCTTTACACCATGTGCCCATGTGGGGAATTGAACCCAGGTCTTCGGTATGATGAAAGAACACCTTAACCACCAGGCAACCCCACTGCCCCCACTTCATAGAAAAAAGCATTTATGAATTTTTGCTTGAACAATTTAACATTCAATAAACAATTTCAGTTCCCATTCACGTTACTCATGACACTATATAAACTACTGACACTGACATTACTTCTGTATCTGTCAGTATAGTCATTGAACAATCAGAAAAAAACAACTGAATTAACATGTTAATCTAAATTAATTGGTTACGGTTCTGAAAACAAGTGGATCTTGTCCATAGACATTTTGGCAGTATTATTGAAAAGTAGTCACACATAAACTTAATAGGCATCCCAGACACTTAGGAAATTGACAGAGCAACAAGCTCATTAAAAACCATACATGAGTTAAATATGTTTTCTCTGATGGAACTGCAGTGAACCCTCTTAGTTCAACGATGAAACTACCGGTATAACATTTTCGATAAAAGTTACAAAGCTATTTCTTACCCCTTCTGTGCTGCTGTCTTCTGTAAACACCAATATCATACACATGGCAATGTGGACTGTCATTTGATTGTAGGCTTTAGTAGGGTTAGCTGCTAAACATAACTGATTGATCTCGAAATTGAGAATTCATTGTAGCAGTGTTTTGGCAGTAGCTATAATATACTGTAAATCATGAAATTAATGCGAGCATTTTATTAATGCAAAAAATGTGTCTGTACTCTTTTCGCATTATTATAATGACGCATTTCAGTCTGACCATGTCTGCTTAATAAAAGACAGAAAACGTAAATCTGTTGACACTACACATTACACCAATACAGGTCACTTCCTCATTACAGGTATCTCAAACCACATGTAATTATCACTGGTCATTGTTTAAAGTCACTCAAGCACATCAGCCAGACGGACATTCTCCAGCCACGTGTTTGTTGTACCTTGGTAGATGACTTGTGTCTTTCAAGTCGGATTACGTTTATACATGTTGTCATAAGACAAGTAGTAGCAAGCACGCTCATGATCAAACATGTCAGCTCATTTCCATTCATTGCTTAACAAGCTCAATTCAGGTTATTTGGTAAATAACAAGTGTGAAAAGAAAAAAGAACAACACCAAAGATTCAGGGTGTCACATTTTATCATCAACACAGATTCCTGAGCTCGCATTAATTTCGTGACGCATTTTAGACTAGACCCTCGCAATCGCATTAAATTTGTGACGCATTAATTTCATGATTTACAGTACTTGGCCTGGTTTGCTCTAAGATATTCTGCAGGTGATGTCAAGAGTAGTGCCTGCTGGATATCCTTAAAGAACTGTTCAGTTAAAGTTGAAACAAGACTGTGAGTTTGTAGTGTAACAGTTGATAATCTGATGAAGTGTATACCAGAGACTACCCACCCCATGGAAGAAGATCTTCAGCAGTAGTGCATTGTGGGGGATTGCTGTGGTCAGTTTTACCAACAACTGGGGCAGCTACGTCTTTCTGACATGTCTGCCAACATTCATGCAGCGAATTCTCAAGTTTGACATCAAATCTGTGAGTAAATCTGATGTATGAAAGTGCAGTCTTACTAGTGTATGTCTGAGCAGGGCTTTTTATGCAAGGTCTCTGTGTATTTACATTGTATGGCGGCACACAGGCAGGAGGATGCCAAGCATTGTTTGGTGTACCAATTGCCAAGACTTGCTAGTGGTATTCTGAATGGGTCAGTTTAGGAGACTCAATGCCCCGAAAAGTGAGATGAAGTCTTTTGATGTGCCAATGCTTTCAAGTGTTGAAAAATGTACATGTCCTTTTTCTCTTATAAATTCACCAAAATACTAAGCTTTTGAACATGCATGGTCATGCATTCTATGCACAAGTTCCTGTCCATTTCATATGTACCAACTGTGTACAATGACAGAAAAAATACCTTATTATATGCATTCCTCCGTGTATTGTAATGGGATGTATTAGAAGAGAAGAATATATATGTTTATACTAATGAAAGTGTTCCTCCATATGATGTTAAGATATGTATTCCTCCATCTGTTCTTATGGCATGTGATGTTATATATTATTCTGTGTGATGTTATGTATTCCTCCATGTGATGTTATGTATTCCTCCATGTGATATTATTTATTCCTCCATGTGATGTTATGTATTCCTCCATGTGATGTTTCAGCATGGGTTTCTCCATGTGATGTGATGTATTCTTCGGTGTGATGTTATGTATTCCTCCATGTGATATTATTTATTCCTCCATGTGATGTTATGTATTCCTCCATGTGATGTTTCAGCATGTTTTCTCTGTGTGATGTTATGTATTCCTCCATTTGATGTTATGTATTTCTCCGTGTGATGTTATGTATTCCTCCATGTGATGTTTCAGCATGTTTTCTTCGTGTGATGTTATGTATTCCTCCATGTGATGTTATGTATTTCTCCGTGTGATGTTATGTATTCCTCCATGTGATGTTTCAGCATGAGTTCCTCCGTGTGTGATGTGTGATGCTATGTATTCCTCCATGTGATGTTGTGCATATTTCTCCGTGTGATGTTATGTATTCCTCCATGTGATGTTATGTATTTCTCCGTGTGATGTTATGTATTCCTCCATGTGATGTTTCAGCATGTTTTCTCTGTGTGATGTTATGTATTCCTCCATGTGATGTTATGTATTTCTCCGTGTGATGTTATGTATTCCTCCATGTGATGTTATGTATTCCTCCATCTGATGTTATGTATTCCTCCTCCTGATGTTATGTATTCCTCCTCGTGACGTTTCAACATGAGTTCCTCCGTGTGATGTTATGGTATATATTCCTCCCTGTGAGGCTATGTATTCCTCCATGTTATTTTTCAGCATGAGTTCCTCCGTGTGATGTTATGGTATATATTCCTCCCTGTGAGGCTATGTATTCCTCCATGTTATGTTTCAGCATGAGTTCCTCCAAGTGATGTTTTTGCAACTATTCCAATGTGTTAGTTTTAACCCAGTTTTCCCATCATCACAGGATGGTCTGCTGTCGGCACTGCCATATATAGCAATATGGATCTCACAGATGATGTCTGGGTTCATCGCAGACTATCTCCGAACACACAACTACCTCAGTACTGTTGGCACCCGTCGGTTAATGACATCACTTGGTAGGCTGTACTTTCATTCTTCAGTAGCCGGCATACAGGCACCAATTCCCTTCCTGTCCACATGGACTAGCTCACCATGATGTGTGTTGGAATCATTGACCACATCATATCACTTCTTAATGCCTTTCTGAAATCCATTTGTGTGATACTCAGTCACATGAGCTTATGCTGTGGGGTGCTGACATAAGCTGAAGCATGGAGAACTATGTGTTAGAACAGAAACACAGGGATTTACCTCGAGTCCTGTATTTGAGGGTCCCTGGGACTCATACTCTTAATTTTCAGGGGTCCTGGACAACAGAATGGGGGTTCCAGACACGTAAATATTAATATTAATACTGTTGTTGTATTGTGTATCATGATCATCACATTGTTGCATAAATTAAATTGCAAATGATACCATTACCCAGCTAGTAGCAAACTCAGTGATAACTTATTGTTACTTGATTGGAACTTTTACAAAAAGTATCCCTCTGGATGCGGTAATAAATTTTGTTGCATCCATTGTCAATTTTTATGCGAATAGGACTCAGGAATTCGTCCTGTAAATCCCTGCAAACAGACATATTCTGTCTTGACCAACATTCCTGGTTCTCCTCCAGAATTGTTGGACTGACCAAAATCCTGTTTTCAGGTGAACTGCTGCCAGCTGTTGGTGTCATTGGTGTCAGCTATGTTGGTTGTGACCATATTTGGGCGGTGATCCTTTTGACTGTTGCCTTTGGGACAAATGGATTTGGTATGGGGGGTTTCAACATCAATCACCTTGATATTGAGCCCAAGTTTGCAGGTAAGAGTTGTCTCAGAATAATTCAGAGTTGTCTCCCTTCCCCACAACAATAAACATGGTAAACTATTTTGGATTAGGAAATACAGGTTGTACAAGATGCCTTATAACCATGTAGTAGGAGTGGATGGTTTCACTGCTTTTGTGTATCATCTACCCAGACGGCTCGGGTTGTAAACATGGTAAATTATTTTTGATTAGGAAATACAGGTTGTATTAGATGCCTTATACCCATGTGATAGGAGTGGATGGTTTCACTGCTTTTGTGTATCATCTACCAAGATGGCTCGGGTTGTAAACATGCAGTCAGCCACTGGTTTGTTAGGCCATACTGGGCTGCCTGTTAGAGGGCGCCTATTACACAATTGTCTTGGCAGTTGTCATGTAGTTGGAGTATTGCTGATGGCAGCTTAAAACATCCTTCATTTGAGCACTTGCTCATTTTTCATAAATGCATTGTACCAGTTTATGTTTATTGTCTTAGATTTAAGTTGGGAATTGTCTGACAAGTCATGGCTGATCTTGTTTTGATGGTTTGTTGTTCACTGCCTGTTAGAGGGTGCCTATTACAAGTCTTCAGTTGCAATAATCAGCTAAAACAGCCACTTGATTTTTCATCAATGTTTATTGTCTTAGATTTAAGTTGGGGCTGACAACCCGGGTTTGATAGGACATTCCATGTAGTCGTAGTAAGATGACACACAATCAATCTTGTCAGTAACACACCCTTGAAATCTGATCGAGAAATTAGGAGAAGTAGAATAAGTGAACCCCTTGAAGATTTGTATTATTTCAAACTCAATTAACTCAAACCATGTTATTGTTAATATATAGTTTCTCTATAACTTTGCATATTGACCTGTAGTTATGTTTCACTTGTTGAAACTGAATTCCAGATACAACAAAAACAATAGTGTCACTTGGACATAAGGTTTAAATAGTGGTTCATTTAACAGGGCTGTGTTCGAAATAGCCACTGGCCCACTAGCCTGTGGCTAGTAAAAATCCAGTCAGACCAGTAAATCTCCACAGTCAATGGCCCGAATTCGAATGGCTAGTGAATTTTCATGGGGTCATTTTGTAAATACATGTAAATCACTCTCTCCGACTTGTTAAGTTATGATACACTTTTAAATCATGCAAGATTATGCCCTGATAAAAATGTTCATCATATTTGCAGATTAATGATGAAACCTGTGTCTATATTCAAATTTCGGGCCAGTGAATAATTCTGTGGGCTAGTAACTTTCAGGCATTGCTAGCCTGTCAAAATTTGGAAACTATTTCGCACACTGTCACAGGGTGTCCTTGGCCATAATAGATGTTGTGTTATATGACAGAAAATGCTCACATGACAAGTTGGCACTAGTTTGTTCTGTGTTCTGTGTACTGAAAGTTACAGTGTATGACCTAGAACTATGAATGATAATGTGACTTTTAATGGTTTCTTTCACAGCATGTTTTGTGTTGTAGGTGTGATGCTGGGGATTACTAACGGTATAGCCTCCATCCCAGGATTCCTAGCACCGGCAGTCGTGGGCTACATCACCAACAACAGGGTGAGTTTCACCGGCAGTTCAGGGACTGTATCACCAACAACAACAGGGTGAGTTTCACCGGCAGTTCAGGGACTGTATCACCAACAACAGGGTGAGTTTCACCAGCAGTTCAGGGACTGTATCACCAACAACAGGGTGAGTTTCACCAGCAGTTCAGGGACTGTATCACCAACAACAACAGGGTGAGTTTCACCAGCAGTTCAGGGACTGTATCACCAACAACAGGGTGAGTTTCACCAGCAGTTCAGGGACTGTATCACCAACAACAGGGTGAGTTTCACCAGCAGTTCAGGGACTGTATCACCAACAACAGGGTGAGTTTCACCGGCAGTTCAGGGACTGTATCACCAACAACAGGGTGAGTTTCACCGGCCGTTCAGGGACTGTATCACCAACAACAGGGTGAGTTTCACCGGCAGGTCAGGGACTGTATCAACAACAGGGTGAGTTTCTCCAGCAGTTCAGGGACTGTATTACCAACAACAGGGTGAGTTTCACCGGCAGTTCAGGGACTGTATAACCAACAACAGGGTGAGTTTCACCAGCAGTTCAGGGACTGTATCACCAACAACAGGGTTAGTTTCACCAACAGTTCAGGGACTGTATTACCAACAACAGGGTGAGTTTCACCAGCAGTTCAGGGACTGTATCACCAACAACAGGGTGAGTTTCACCAGCAGTTCAGGGACTGTATCACCAACAACAGGGTGAGTTTCACCAGCAGTTCAGGGACTGTATCACCAACAACAGGGTGAGTTTCACCAGCAGTTCAGGGACTGTATCACCAACAACAGGGTGAGTTTCACCAGCAGTTCAGGGACTGTATCACCAACAACAGGGTGAGTTTCACCGGCAGTTCAGGGACTGTATAACCAACAACAGGGTGAGTTTCACCAGCAGTTCAGGACTGTATAACCAACAACAGGGACTGTATCACCAACAACAGGGTGAGTTTCACCAGCAGTTCAGGGACTGTATCACCAACAACAGGGTGAGTTTCACCAGCAGTTCAGGGACTGTATCACCAACAACAGGGTGAGTTTCACCAGCAGTTCAGGGACTGTATCACCAACAACAGGGTGAGTTTCACCAGCAGTTCAGGGACTGTATCACCAACAACAGGGTGAGTTTCAGGGACTGTATCACCAACAACAGGGTGAGTTTCGCCGGCCGTTCAAGGACTGTATCACCAACAACAAAAATAGTTACATAACAAACTATTATCATTTTGTTTTCATTTTCCGTGTGAAGTTTTACAAGGGTACAGTAACAGTGGATAAAGCTATGTCCAGTGTATGAAATCCCAGCCAGACACCAGGGTGGTAACTTAACAATGTTACCAGCCCAAAATGGATTTAACCAGACCAGACACCAAGATATGGTGTATTTACTCAGATGTATGGAACATCTAAATTTTATACCAGACCATTGGGCTGGCTAGCTGTAAAATTAGACCGTCCGGCAGAAATCTAGCCGTCTCTGGGCAGTCGGATGGGCCTTATTTCATACACTGGTATCACCAGGGTTAGTTTGACCAAAAGTAGAGGGGCCGTATGACAAGTCCCAGTAGCTCAGGGGTAGTGTCACCAACAACAAGATGAGTTTCCCTTCTGCCTTTCCATGGTAATGTAAGAACTGGTTGAAATATTCATAATTCACTTGATTGTGTTTCAGGAAACTGTTGAGAGTTGGAGCTATGTCTTTTATCTGACTGCTGGGATCTATGTCTTTGGTGCCCTGGTATATCTTGTTCTGGCCCGGGGAGATGAAATGGCATGGGCAAGGGAGAGGCCATTGCATATCAGCTCTGTCAATGAGAATAGCAGCAATATACAGACAAACAGACAGACATGGCCGCCTCCTCAACAGGACGTCCACATCCCTCCACCCCCTGACTACACAGAAACATGACGTCACCAGTAAACCATGTGCTTCCATGTGGACAATAGGAACATCAGTGTGATTGTAATGAGTTTGAGTACCAGCTTTGACCCAGTCAGGAGATCTGTTGATGAATAGACAACTTCTTTATTGCAGCGGATGTGATGTTTCAGTGTAGATCCTAACACTGTTATTCAGCAAAGTTAGTTGTTTTTTTCAAGGGTTCCATGAAAGTGATAAATGCGATGTCCCACAGTTTATTGTGATGAGGGAATCTCCATATATTGCTCAATGTTAAACTCAGGCAAGTTGTTCCTGCTCTGAAATATGGTTGCTGGACAACATTGTTTTCATAAATTATTTTGAAACTTTGGTGACCTGTATGTCACTTCCAGTTTATTTTGTCACCATATACATTTTAGCAAAGTTTACTTGAAGGCACTTTGTACGAGGGTCGCTCAAAAAGTACTCGGCTATAACTATATTCTCGATGTCCAATGTTTGAAAAGGTTCCATTATTTTAAAGGAATCATTAGCAAAGCCATATCCAAAATTTCACATATGTGGGTAATGTGGTCAATGAGATATTAGTCATCACAACACATTGGGGTATAATATTTCTAAAAAATTGCAGGAAATGAAAAACACTCTGTCATTTGGTACCTCTTGGATATTGTTATGCCCTCAGATAATATCATATAAAATATGTTCAGTATAGTATTGAATGACTTCTCGTCATAATCAACAGTCAAAGATTTGGATTGCTTGATTTATATTTAGACAGGGGCTGTTTTTAAAGGACACCCCCATTTTAATCTTTCAAAAACATTGTGTCCAGATATTCAAGCTGGCACTGTTTACAATATGTTGAGAGCTGACACTTCAGTATTTAGTTTGTACCCTTGGCATCATGTATCAATACGTGAAAACATTAGAAAAGGTTTTGTCCTCATGATGATGTCATCTGAGAGGGGGGTGGGTAGTGTCTCCAAAACAAGCTTTCAGAAAACATGAAGGAGGGAGTCATTTTAACAAGCGATTGTAGTTTCAAAATGCTTTTTTATACACTTTTTAATATCTTAAGTTTGATTTTAGCGGACTTCTATCTATCTCAAACACACAAAATGTTTCTTGCATATTTTGTTTCCTGAAGTTTGTGATGCATTTATTGCAGATTTTTGCGTTTTTAGGGTACCAAGATAAAAGGTCAAACAAAATGGGGATCGTGAGGCTGGAACATAGCAAAACCAATTTTCTTGAGGTTTACAGATAATATGTAGAAAAATAAAACATAAAAACAGCTGCATTTGTATCATTTTCTAGGTGAGGCCAAGTACCTTTTGATCGACCCTCGTAGGTCGTGTCTCTATTAGCTGTAGTGTAGTAGTACGGTACTATGTACAAGCCTCGTCTTAAAATGTGGCTGTTTCAAGTTTCTGCTTGACCGAAATGATGTTTATCATTCCAAGAGTTGAAATAACTTTAAAATATACCTGGATTAGCCGAGGTCAAATGTTTCTAAAAAACACAACTGAGGACAAGTTTGATTTTGTGTCAAGAGTACTGGCTGAAGTACAATAAAGTGAGAATCATCAAGAACAGGAAGCTGTTGATTGACCAGAGTATAGGCAGGTCTGACAGTGACAGGTGCCCATCTAAGGTTAAGTCCCTGTCTCTTTACAACAACAAACTATTGAGGAACATGCAAACATTCGTGGCTGTCAATAGTGTTGGGAATTGGAAACCAAATCCACTATCGATTATCGGAGGATTGTGGTGAACAATTATCGATTATAATCGAACTATATACATTTTTAATATATTCACCAATTTTAAGGTTTTGCCCCAGGTTTTTTCTAATTGTTTTTTATAACTAATACTGTCATGCAATGAAATGTACGCATGCAAGAAAGACACTGGAATCAAAGTGGTTTAAATTTTACAATGCGCATAGCTTTACGCTGTTGAGCACGTTTGTTCGTGAATATGCGTCATATTTAAGGGCTAGTTTACTTCATTCAAGTGTGTTATACTAAAACAACAAAATTCAGATTAATCGAAAATGTGTTTTTTACAATCGACAGCATGTTTAATCTTCTTTCGATCCATTTTCAATCACTGGAACACCACTAGCTGTCAATACTCTTGCTGACGATAAGCAGTCACATGATCTACATGAATGTTGTTAGCATGAAGGCTTCTTTGTATCTTTTATCATCAGTATGTGATCAGGAAATGTGTTAAACCAAAGTTTTAAGTTCCAATGTGTGTTTCAATGGTACTGTGGCGTCTTTCATGTCCTTACCTCTGATGTGCACTGTACCTTTACAATGTGTCTGTACAGTCACTCATAAAAAGAACTCATCTTTATTTTTTTAAACTGACAACAGGGATGACAGAAGTACTTAATATATATTAAAATGTATATTTTTACTTGCAGGACATTCCAATTTTCCCATGGTACACACAAGAATGTTGGGAGGTTTAACACCATGTTTTGTGAGCCATTAATAGCTATGATTAGAAGACAAAAAAGTAAATATGTACTTGGTGACAAATGGGTAGGGATCTAACAATACAAGAATATTTTTACATCTGTGACAATGTAAACTACACCTAAGTGACGTAAGTTAGTTAATAATACCTCCCCAACCACAATAGGTGTCCTCCCATTCTTCAGACAGCCATTCTTCTTCAGACAGTCATTCTTCAGACACTTGAGTAGAGGAATTAATTACCCTCACCCCGCAGCAATATTATGAATGTGTTTGTTTTGTGTGCTAGAGTATTATTATCATGAGATTACTTGTTATGTCAAAGGAAACCAACACAGATACTAGTGCATATTAAAATGTCAAGTGAAGATGTGTGATGTTCTGTTAATTCAATGTGCAGACTGTAGTTTTTAAATAACACCTACATTTTCTAAACATCAAATTTTAGTATTTTTACTATATGCAAAAATAATCTAATCTTATCCTTGAAGAACCTATTTGTCTTTCATTGTGTGTTTGTTTTAAATAAATACAATGTCTGGCTCCTATACTTTATGTACCTCTCTGACACATGTAAATGTACAAGGCTGAGTATGTTAGACAGCTGACTATGTGTGCTGGCTGAGTGGGTTGGATGGCTGACGGCTGTGTTGGCGATCAGTTGCCTGACTCTGAGAGTGTGGGTTCAAATCCCAGATGGGACTCAACCCAACAAAAGTACTAGAATCTGTACTTTACTAAGAAAGTGTAATCACAAATATAAGTTATGTTACATTTGACCACTTTCGAAATAGCTTTATGTATTTGTAGCATTATTAGTTTGATGGAAGCTTCTTTTATCTTGGTATTTTAGAAGCATATCTATTTGCAAATGTGATAAACATTCAAATTTTAACCCTGTACCCAAAAAAAGGCAGTCTGTACATAAACATTACAAGAGGAAATATATCACTTTTTTTATATCACTTTTTTTAAGCAGTTCCGGTTTTCTGTTTTTCACTCTTTCATTGAGCAACCCATTGTATTGGTCTGCTTAGTATACATAGTTTCGAATCGACCATTGATGCTGTGGTTCCTTTTCACAGCAATCCATGTCAGTACTTGATGTGTTTGTGTCGACTTCATTACATCACCCTGACTTTCAGTGATCAATTCACATAGTTATATTTTCAGTGATCAATTCACATAGTTATATTTTCAGTGATCAATTCACATAGTTATATTTTCAGTGATCAATTCACATAGTTATATTTTCAGTGATCAATTCACATAGTTATATTTTCAGTGATCAATTCACACAGTTATATTTTCAGTGATCAATTCACATAGTTATATTTTCAGTGATCAATTCACATAGTTATATTTTCAGTGATCAATTATAGTTATATTTTCAGTGATCAATTCACAGTTATATTTTCAGTGATCAATTCACACAGTTATATTTTCAGTGATCAATTCACACAGTTATATTTTCAGTGATCAATTCACATAGTTATATTTTCAGTGATCAATTCACGGTGATCAGTTCACACCAGTTATATTTTCAGTGATCAATTCACACGATCAATTCACAGTTATATTTTCAGTGATCAATTCACAGTTATATTTTCAGTGATCAATTACAGTTAGATTTTCAGTGATCAATTCACAGTTATATTTTCAGTGATCAATTCACATAGTTATATTTTCAGTGATCAATTCACATAGTTATATTTTCAGTGATCAATTCACAGTTATATTTTCAGTGATCAATTCACATTTTATCAGTTATATTTTCAGTGATCAATTCACACACAGTGAGTTCACATATATTTTCAGTGATCAATTCACATAGTTATATTTTCAGTGATCAATTTCAGTGATCAATTCACAGTTATATTTTCAGTGATTCAATTCACATAGTTATATTTTCAGTGATCAATCAGTTATATTTTCAGTGATCAGTTCACATAGTTATATTTTCAGTGATCAATTCACAATTTTCAGTTCAATTCACAGTCAGTATATTTTTCAGTGATCACAGTTATATTTTCAGTGATCAACAGTTATATTTTCAGTGATTCAATTCACACAGTTATATTTTCAGTGATTCACAGTTATATTTTCAGTTCAATTCACAGTTATATTTTCAGTGATCATATTTTCAGTGATCAATTCACATAGTTATATTTTCAGTGATCAATTCACATAGTTATATTTTCAGTGATCAATTTTCACATAGTTATATTTTCAGTGATCAATCACACACAGTTATATTTTCAGTGATCAATTAGTTATATTTTCAGTGATCAATTCACATAGTTATATTTTCAGTGATCAATTCACAGTTATATTTTCAGTTATATTTTCAGTGATCAATTCACATAGTTATATTTTCAGTGATTTCAGTGATATTTTCAGTTCATATCAGTTTCAGTTTCAGTGATCAATTCAATTCACATAGTTATATTTTCAGTTAGTTATATTTTCATGATCAATTCAGTGATCATCAATTCACAGTTATATTTTAGTGATCAATTCACATAGTTATATTTTCAGTGATCAATTCAATTCACAGTTATATTTTCAGTGTGATCAATTCACACAGTTATATTTTCAGTGATCAATTCACATAGTTATATTTTCAGTGATCAATTCACATAGTTATATTTTCAGTGATCAATTCAGTTATATTTTCAGTGATCACACAGTTATATTTTCAGTGATCAATTCATTAAAGTTATATTTTCAGTGATCAATTCACAGTTATCAGTTTTCAGTGATCAATCAGTTCACATAGTTATATTTTCAGTGATCAATTCACACAGTTATATTTTCAGTGATCAATTCACACAGTTATATTTTCAGTGATCAATTCACACAGTTATATTTTCAGTGATCAATTCACACAGTTATATTTTCAGTGATCAATTCACACAGTTATATTTTCAGTGATCAATTCACACAGTTATATTTTCAGTGATCAATTCACAGTTACATTTTCATCAGTTCACATAGTTATATTTTCACAGTTATATTTTCAGTGATCAATTCACATAGTTATTTTCAGTGATCAATTCACACAGTTATATTTTCAGTGATTAGTTATATTTTCAGTGATTTCAGTGATCAATTCACACAGTTATATTTTCAGTGATCAATTCACATAGTTATTTTTTCAGTGATCAATTCACACAGTTATATTTTCAGTGATCAATTCACAGTTATATTTTCAGTGATCAGTTCACATAGTTATATTTTCAGTGATCAGTTCACATAGTTATATTTTCAGTGATCAATTCACATAGTTATATTTTCAGTGATCAATTCACATAGTTATATTTTCAGTGATCAATTCACATAGTTATATTTTCAGTGATCAGTTCACATAGTTATATTTTCAGTGATCAATTTACATAGTTATATTTTCAGTAACATCTTATCAGTTCCTAATCTGTGAAGATCCGGGTTAGAATTGATCTTCAATAACCCATGCTTGTCGTAGGAGGCGACTAAGGGGATTGGGTGGTCAGACTCGCCGACTTGGTTGACACGTCATCGTATCCCAATTGTGTAGATTGATGCACAAGCTGTTGATCACTTGATTGTCTGGTCTAGACTCGATTATTTACAGACTGCTACCATATAGCTGGAATATTGCTGAGAGCAACGTTAAACAACCATCCAACCAAACAACCAACCATCCAACCAACCAACCTACCAGTACCTCCAGCTGTAATTGCCAGGAAATGGCACTTCAGGCCCTCTAAATTATGCATTCCACATGAACTTAACACCAGGCCAATTCTGGGCATGTAAAACCTTTTGAGATTATGGTTAGCTGATAAGTTGGCATCCAGCACAGGTAAAGTAATCTGAGACCTCATCGGAAAATATAACATCAATACTTATTGATTATTGATCAGTGATTGTTAATGTAATGTTAACTTTCTGCTGACGCATGACATATACATGTATTGACAAATAATCGATCGTTATCGCAACTTTATGATCTAACAGAAATTGAAGGTCAATAAATTTTACCTGGGAGCAATTGACGGCAACGCAACGATTCTGCATGTCTTCGTTGACATCGGGAAAGCAGGAAAATGACGAGCTTGTCACACACTTTATATACAACTAACTGAAAGCGACAGAGTTACGTAACCTCTCTGTGATTTCGTTGGCGGGCGAGAGTGAAGCACACCACTTTTTGTCAACTTTTAATCGCTCGGTATTAATTAAACACAAGTTTTTCTAAGAATGAATTTTGTGTTCCTCTTAAGACTAACCACACTTCTTTCATATGTAATGGCTAAAAGAGTACTAAAAACAAAAGTTTATTCGTTCTTTAAACTTATGTCATACGAAGCTAGATGATGTAGGGACTCCCTTCTAAACTGCACTACTTTATAGGCATGTGCATTTGTGACTTGAATGTGATGTAAGAACCAATGGAAGGCCCTATCGTTTCCTATTAAAGAAGATGGACAATTGAGTTTATTTTTTCTCAGATTATACAGTAGTACACAAAACATTTTTAACAGCGGTTGACATATCTTTCTTCGTAAGGAAATGAGTCGCATTTCTAGTGGTATAACATTAGGCAACTGTTATCACAACACTTACCTTGACATGCTTTTCGTTCACCTAACATTCACGTTCCCTAAGAGTGATTGGAGAATATAAGTATATTTGGGTGAAGTCACCTGGTTTCCTGAAGTACAATGAGGTCATGATGTACATTTCTTGGGAATGTGTTGATATGTTACATATTTGGTCGATCGCAACCATGAGCGAACTTTGCCTCCCAATAAAAGTCAGTTGTAAGCAAGTGTGGTCACCATCTGTTGAAGCGGGGATTATACATAACACACAGGTTGAGGTGGTCCAGAGTTTGCTGTTTCCTGTAGTGTTTCCTTAAGTGCGACCTTCAGCTGTTCTTGTTTATTTGACACAGATTTGAGATCTTGATTCCCCAAAGTATGTGTCATCTGTTCCTGACTGTTCCAGTGGAGTAAGTTTAGACCATGCATGTGCACTGTTCCCGACTGTTCCAGTGGAGTTTAGACCATGCATGTGCACTGTTCCCGACTGTTCCAGTGGAGTAAGTTTAGACCATGCATGTGCACTGTTCCCGACTGTTCCAGTGGAGTTTAGACCATGCATGTGCACTGTTCCCGACTGTTCCAGTGGAGTAAAGACCTTTAGACCATGTATGTGCATGCTGTTCAGTTCGACTGTTCCAGTGGAGTAAGTTTAGACCATGCATGTGCACTGTTCCCGACTGTTCCAGTGGAGTTTAGACCATGCATGTGCACTGTTCCCGACTGTTCCAGTGGAGTAAGTTTAGACCATGTATGTGCACAGTTCTCGACTGTTCCAGTGGAGTAAGTTTAGACCATGCATGTGCACAGTTCTCGACTGTTCCAGTGGAGTAAGTTAGAGATACATGCATGTGCACTGTTCCCGACTGTTCCAGTGGAGTAAGTTTAGACCATGCATGTGCACTGTTCCCGACTGTTCCAGTGAGTTTAGATCATGCATGTGCACTGTTCCCGACTGTTCCAGTGGAGTAAGTTTAGACCATGCATGTGCACTGTTCCCGACTGTTCCAGTGGAGTACGTTTAGATCATGTATGTGCACTGTTCCCGACTGTTCCAGTGGAGTTTAGACCATGCATGTGCACTGTTCCCGACTGTTCCAGTGGAGTAAGTTTAGATCATGCATGTGCACAGTTCCCGACTGTTCCAGTGGAGTAAGTTTAGACCATGCATGTGCACTGTTCCCGACTGTTCCAGTGGAGTAAGTTTAGACAATGTATGTGCACTGTTCCCGACTGTTCCAGTGGAGTACGTTTAGATCATGTATGTGCACTGTTCCCCACTGTTCCAGTGGAGTAAGTTTAGACCATGTATGTGCACAGTTCCCGACTGTTCCAGTGAAGGAAGTTAAGACTATGCATGTCCACAGTTCTCGACTGTTCCAGTGGAGTAAGTTTAGACCATGCATGTGCACTGTTCCTGACTGTTCCATTTTAGACCATGCATGCGATCTGTTGACGGTAGTTCTTGTGGAGCGAGTTGAAGTCCGTGTTCCAGACTCACAGGCTTCATTATTACATATCAGCACACGCGTAACCATTAACTGTAGGTTTCTCAGCAATACTAAATATAACCCTGTTTGCACATACAGGTCTATTGTTTGTCCCTGTGAAATTGTCATTTTTTTCGATGCCTATGTGGTCTTCCTTCACAACGGGCTGTGATATGACAATATTAATGTCATTTCTAAAGGATTTGGAGCCGCTCCCTGAGTATTTAGACCAGCCCACCTCTTCGCCCTCTGAGAAGAGAAGAAACACTATTCCCCCGCAGGCGTATATTGCAGCTGTGATTAAGAAGAACACTCTCCACTGACCCATCGACGGCTGAAAATAGATCGTATGTTTAATTTGTGGTATGAAACAATATATAACCGGCAGATACGTAAGTCGCCCGTACTGGCGTAGTCTGCGTTTTATGCTAGGGGGATTTATGTGATTTTGAACTTAAAATGGCGGTGGTTCAAGACAGCCAGATGGTGCAGTGAATTCGTTTATAGATCAATAGAAGAAAGATAATATCATTTTCATTCACATGTATCTTCAAAGGTATCTACCTCCAAGAAATGTTGAACCAATCTTACAGTATCGACCTTTGTGCCGTTACTTATGGCTTAAACGGCCTAAACTATTTATGGTTGTGGGGTTTTTGGGAAATAATTAAGTAAATAAATATATAGAATAAGGCTTAGCGTTTGACAGGTTGGTTTGAAAGGGCTACAATGTGTGCGTGCATGCGTGCGTTGGTGCGTGTGTGTGTGTGCGTGCGTGTGTGTGTGTGTGTGTTACAAACACCCTTAAACAACTTCATATGCATCAATGGAGCCATTCATTGACAACTACGACGAAATGGGGACCACATTGTCCATCTGCCACGTTAAGTGAGCTGTATGATATGTGTTTGTACTTCAAAACTCACGTTGTCCTTCGTAAGAACGCCAACCACCACTGGACCTATAAAACCTGTGGTTGTTCCAAAGCTGTTGGATATCCCCATCAGGATACCTGTTGGGATGAAGATGTGTCGTTAGATATAACATTGACCTTTTCCAGTCCATTAACAGAGCCATGTGTACCCAAGCCTTCCCTTAATTGCAAATTACCACACATCATATACACAACCAGATGTTAGTCTCAAAGACGAACGCTATTGTCACAAGTTATTGGTCACAATCCAATTACTGCCGTGTATGGTATTACATCAGTTCACCAGTCAGAACCGTGCGGTTCCACCATGGTGCAGGTCTTAACCTCACTGGTCACTAAACGTACATTTTATGTAGAAGTATGACGTTCCTTAGAGGATGGAAAAGCCGTAGTTCCTCCACAATTGTTAGCAGATTTTGGACACAACGCAATCGTTCCATTTCGTCCCTTCCTTGTCTGGTTGGAGACAGACCTGTGAGCTTGCAAGCGAGCCAGGTTAACATATTGACACTGGTCAGAGTCAGGTACTGTCGCACAACACTAGCAACTGTGGACTTGCATATCGAATCCCACGGAGGCTCTGTTGTGAAAACGGATTGCAAAATGCCATCCCGGTATCGCGTAGCATTCACATTACCATTAATCACGATCTTTAGAGTCCCGCTGTTATTCTACCTGAGATCAAAACGCTCCATTTGAAAAACATGGCCTGCCTTATAAATTATCAGTTGAAAGGACCGTTCTCTACAATGTACCAACGTGCTCCTCTACCGACATTGGAGTAGTCAACGCGTTGGCCGACTGGCTGAACGCCTGGCACGAATGAGGTTGACGACTTCGGGGGATCTTCGCAGATACGCCTCTGTGTGACTTGTCATGTGGAACTTGTGTCGAAAGTAGGTAGTACCAATCAATACGTCCTGGGAGACGTCACAAGTCAGATGTGTCTGACGCAGGTGTTCTGTCAGCTTCAGCGTCATGTGGTGAGCCCGTAGACGTTGCAGCGACGCGCAGTCACCCAGGGAGGTGACACATTTCCACACAATTGAAGTAATTTCTAACAAGCATTCAATATTTCTTGTAAGATCTATGCTATTCCAACAACAATTCGTTGAGTTGCATTTCTTCTAACTGTTCGTATCTGTTTGCATCTCCCAATGTTTGTAAGAGAAAAGCTGCATGTCACAATATCCTTTGCTTTACTATAACATGAAAATAGCTCCATTTATCGGTTGTCGAAAGGTGTCAAACATTCGCAAACTTCTAAAGAGTCCGCCTACGTACCCGCAAACCTAGGGGCGATGTCGATATGGTTGATACTGAAGCCAGACAGGGTGAAGCCGCTCATCCCCACCCCCAGGGTGAGCAGAGTGACGGCCATCACCGGGTTACACCCGACATATCCCACCCCCAACATCAGCACAGCGGGGACCAACAACCCTAGAAGAAATAAGTGCATTGTAATAAGAGTTACGTGTCGGTTTATGGATGGGCATACTTTCACGTTAAGAAAGTGATAAGCTCTAACATTGGGACACAGTGAGAGGCAGGGTAGTTGGGTTCAATCTGACCAATCGACCAATTTTACTGATATCAACTTGTTGTTCTTGTTCATTAATATACAGCACATTTATATACTAGTATATATCAACACCCATTTTAATATCAACCCGTTTCAGTCTGACTCATACTTGCTTGACAACGATACAAGAATCTGTATCGAAACGTCTCTTCATCCGAATAAAGAAGTTGTTCATCCATAAAGTTCTGTCCTTATCGGGTTCCATAGAGACAACAATTTCTTTATCAGTTTCATTTGGCACATATTTGAAATCTTTTTGTACCTATTTGAGGTTACCTGTTATGTCACATAAACGTATTTTTGAAATAAGAATTGTCTTCTCCCTGTAAATGTCAATACAGTGATATATCACCCCACTGAAGTCTTGAAAATGTTGAGAACAGTAGTAGCATTGATATGGTGACATTTCCGTCGTTTAAACATCACATCTGAAGAATTGAATACTTGATAGTTAGTGGTAATGCTGAATAGCAAATTAGACGAGGAGTTTAGGTTTCCCGTAAATCGTTCACCAACAGAAAATGAAATCGTTCACTAACAGTTTGATGGTGTTGGTCTTTCGATGATGAAAGTTCGGAATACGGCACAACACTTAACATTCAAATTTGGCACAAAGATAGTTCGATAATTAAATGTAAGTGTATTTTGTTTTTCGTTTATACAGCAACGGTACCTTAAACTTTGATATCTTTACGGAAACGTAGCCGAAGTTAGACAATGTTTTACAGCCTCATGGGCTTGTATGATGACAGAATGGAAAAAATATTTGGTTAAATTACGCACATGTGTCTTCTATTTTACAGCATGAATTTTGGGGACAGTGTGGCCTATAGAAATATAGATATTGACAATTTTTCTACACCTAAAAAATAAAAACCTGCTCTCCTCTCGCATGATAAATCGTTCACTTCCTGCTATGAAATATTTCCTGCCGTTCACCGCTCCTACGGTGTGGAGTGTGTCGGGCTGGTATCTTTAACCTTATCTACTCTGCTAGCCCATTACCCCCAAGTGTGGACACGTTTGGCAGATATGTTTAATATGTTTTCTGTTACTACTGAATGTTTAAGAAAATTTAAAGTTGCTCACTTTGTATGCTAGCTAAGCAAACCACTTACCTATAGAGTTCATTATTTTTCTTGTAACTTTAGTGGAAAAATGCCGGCTTCTAAGAAAGTCAGCGATTGGCCCACTCGCTATGTTAGCTAACCACAACACCACGTAGGGTAACGCCGACAAACCTCCATTCTGAAAATACAGAACCAATATAACTGTACTGTTAACAGCTTTCTTTCCAAATGAAGCTACTTTCACCAGAGAGGTTACTATCGCAAACTTTCCAAAGGGAGACAACCTTCTCTATGAGCCCAGGGAAACTACCAAAGGGAGACGATCCGCTCTATGAGCCCAGGGAAACTGCCAAAGGGAGACCACCTTCTCTATGAGCCCAGGAAAACTGCCAAAGGGTGACCACCTTCTCTATGAGCCCAGGAAAACTGCCAAAGGGTGACCACCTTCTCTATGAGCCCAGGGAAACTGCCAAAGGGTGACCACCTTCTCTATGAGCCCAGGAAAACTGCCAAAGGGTGACCACCTTCTCTATGAGCCCAGGAAAACTGCCAAAGGTGACCACCTTCTCTATGAGCCCAGGGAAACTGCCAAAGGGAGACCACCTTCTCTATGAGCCCAGGAAAACTGCCAAAGGGTGACCACCTTCTCTATGAGCCCAGGAAAACTGCCAAAGGGTGACCACCTTCTCTATGAGCCCAGGAAACTGCCAAAGGGAGACCACCTTCTCTAGAGCCCACCTTCTCTATGAGCCCAGGGAACTGCCAAGGGGTGACCACCTTCTCTATGAGCCCAGGAAACTGCCAAGGTAGACCACCTTCTCTATGAGCCCAGGAAAACTGCCAAAGGGTGATCACCTTCTCTATGAGCCCAGGGAAACTGCCAAAGGTAGACCACCTTCTCTATGAGCCCAGGAAACTGCCAAAGGGAGACCACCTTCTCTATGAGCCCAGGAAACTGCCAAAGGGAGACCACCTTTTCTATGCGCCCAGGAAAACTGCCAAAGGGTGACCACCTTCTCTATGAGCCCAGGGAAACTGCCAAAGGTAGACCACCTTCTCTATGAGCCCAGGGAAACTGCCAAAGGGAGACCACCTTCTCTATGAGCCCAGGAAAACTGCCAAAGGTAGACCACCTTCTCTATGAGCCCAGGGAAACTGCCAAAGGGAGACCACCTTCTCTATGAGCCCAGGGAAACTGCCAAAGGGAGACCACCTTCTCTATGAGCCCAGGGAAACTGCCAAAGGGAGACCACCTTTTCTATGAGCCCAGGGAAACTGCTAGCATTTGAATTGTGTGCTGATATATATACATTTTTCTTTACAGCATACTGAACAATGAATGAATTTAGTTTTACGCCCCACTCAGCAATATTCCAGCTATATGGTGGCGGTCTGTAAATAATAGAGTCTGGACCAGACAATCCTGGGATCAACAGCATGAACATCGATCTACACAACTGGGATACGATGACATGTGTCAACCAAGTCAGCGAGCCTGGCCACCCGATCCCGTTAATCGCCTCTTACGACAAGCATGGGTCACTGAGTGAGTGAGTTAGATCAGTTCTAACCTGGATCTTCACGGTTGCATACTGAACAGGAATTTCTCTTGATCGAAATGTCAGTGACTTAAATGAATGTAAGGATGGGAACAAATATGAATACAAAACTAACACAAAATACAAAAAACAACAACCCTACTTTGTAATACTTCGTTTGTAAGTGTAACTTTCGTGTCGACCAAAAATCAAAAGTGTTATTTATACTTGTTCAAGCTGGTGTACACTCTACAATCATCGACAATAACAAAACGAGTCTTTCAGAAATTTACAAACAGGAATTCAACACACATTTCCTCGACAGTGCATTATGTTGGGTCGATTATCAGTCACTATAGTGCATAGTACTCGTCTCGAAAGTAGATCTCTTATCTAATCTGTGCAGTAAATCACTCGTAACCCGATAACTAGACTTCCACAATTCTGTTTTGTTTATGTGCCAGGGCTCGTTAAACCTACACTGAAGAACCCCCAATATATAGAGCACGGTTGATATATCACTACATGCACTTTACACAGTGCTTAACCCAAGAGGTATTTTGATCTCACAGTCTCCCCATGAAGGCAACTCTCCCCCCGACGAGGGGGATTTAATTGACTGTCATCATCCTGCTGCAGCCATAAAGGTTACGTACCTCCTGGATGTCGAACTTCAGCACCTGTTTCATAAACTGCGGTAGCATAGTGATGGAGGTGAAGCCTCCCCAGTCGTAAGCGATGTGCGCCCCTACAATCGCCCACACCGCCGGTGTTGACAAGACTGCGCACCACGGAAGTTGCAGCGACTTTTTCTACAGACAGTAAAAGAGGAATACGCGCATTGCGTATATGGTAGACATTTTGATAACTTATTAGTGCTTTAGTGTGACGAAAAATGTACCTTACAATATGGATTGCAGTATGTATGATATGATAGGTGTTCCGTTAGATTTGCTATGGACGCGCTAACAATAATTTTGAATATTAGATTTCAATACCACTTTGTTTTCCAAAATGTGATAAACGAGAATGTATTCGACGTGACCGATCAGGGACTTTGTGTTCTATGGCCTGGAGCCAGTTTCCAACCCAGACGGTGTTATTAGCAGTGAAGTGCGTTACACAGGAAATAATATACAGTGAATGAGTGATACAGCTCCGCTTGTAACAGTATTCCAGTTACATCGGGGAGGGTCTGCTTAATGTGGGAGGGAAGCCCGAAGTGATGCAGGTGTTGAGTTTAACCTTTTTCATAAAACCAACAAGGAGGTGCTGACAAACCTAAAAACACAAACTGTGACATAACAGGTTTTACAGCGGTCTTACACCCGTACTTACACCTGTTTTACAGAGGTCTTACTTACACCCGTTCTCACACCTGTTTTACAACGGTCTTACTTGTGCCCGTACTCACTTTTCTGCTTCCAACAGACTTGAGTATATAGTCTCTCTCCTGTGTAGATATGTGGGGGTGGAGGGTGGGACTATCGAACGCCATTACCGCCCAGGCTACGCTCCACGCCACTCCTAGAGTTCCTGCAACAGTCCAAGATTCAACTGAAAGTGCAAGTAAGTATAGGGACCTGTAGCCAGCTAAGGCGTCGCAATTTGTGGCAACGCCTTCCGCTTTGCATGAACCTTAGGATCGCATGTTCCAATCCTCGTATATCAAGACCATACAGGTTTCAGCAAAATAGTAACGCCTTAGATCACCTTCACTTTGGGTTCAGTCCCATTTAAAGCTGACACACTGTGATATACTGACTGACTGAGTTTGGTTTTACGCCGCTTTTAGCAATATTCCAGCAACATCACGGCGGGGGACACCAGAAATGGGCTTCACACATTGTGCCCATGTGGGGATTCGAACCCGGGTCTTCGGCGTGACGAGCCAACGCTTTAACCATTAGGCTACCACACCGCCCCCACTGTGATATAACTGAAGTGCGGCGGTAAACCAATTTCACTCATTTAAGGGGCGGAGGGGTAGCCTAGTGGTTAAAGCGTTCGCTCGTCACGCCCAATACCCGGGTTCGATTCCCCACATGGGAACTATGTGTGAAGCCCATTTCTGCTGTCCCCCGCCGTGATATTGCTCAAACGGCGTAAAACTAAACTCACTCACTCACTCATTTAAAGAGCAGATATATACATATATACGGTCGTGGTAAATGCTTTGTCATTGTCAGTTATCTCTCAGTATCACAGTAATACAGTTATCACGTATATAAGGATGTCACAGGTGAAGAACTAGATACACATGGGGTTTGCGTAACCTATTACCGAAGTGCAGGTTTGTAGATAAAATGTGTTCGCTGTTTGTGGAAGCTCATGCATGTAAGAGGAGACGTTACGTTAAAGATTGTTGTACTATCATATACACTTGCTTCGTCTGGGGATTTTGCATTACAGGAAAGTGCGGCGGTAAACCAATTTCACTCATTTAAGGGGCGGAGGGGTAGCCTAGTGGTTAAAGCGTTCGCTCGTCACGCCCAATACCCGGGTTCGATTCCCCACATGGGAACTATGTGTGAAGCCCATTTCTGCTGTCCCCCGCCGTGATATTGCTCAAACGGCGTAAAACTAAACTTACTCACTCACTCATTTAAAGAGCAGATATATACATATATACGGTCGTGGTAAATGCTTTGTCATTGTCAGTTATCTCTCAGTATCACAGTAATACAGTTATCACGTATATAAGGATGTCACAGGTGAAGAACTAGATACACATGGGGTTTGCGTAACCTTTTACCGAAGTGCAGGTTTGTAGATAAAATGTGTTCGCTGTTTGTGGAAGCTCATGCATGTAAGAGGAGACGTTACGTTAAAGATTGTTGTACTGTCATATACACTTGCTTCGTCTGGGGATTTTGCATTACAGGAAAGGCTGTGTGGTAAGGAAACTAATGTGGTTCAGGGACGGTTTGCAGACTTTAACTCTCACTCGTATTTTATCTCCTTAATGTAGAACGCTATAGAGATACAACTAACTAAGATATCCTAAAATCTGTTGGTGTCTCGAAGCCAGGGATCGAACTATCGACCTTCCGCTCTATCCACTAGACTACCGAGATGCTCATCTTGTCATGAGCAATCAGTCCGGTTACATCAGTTTGATGAAGTATGGACCAATCCGCAATCTAGATGTTGGTGAGTCAATACCGAAGCATACGATTTTATGGATAACAAGACCAGACTACTGTCTTGCCGGAGATACACACACCTTTCTTGGCGTCTTTGTATCCGGATATCCCAACAATAATAGCCAAACCACAATCTACGGGAAACCCACCAATTCTGAAATGTTCACCCATTTCAACTCCATAAATCAAACTCTGTCTTCAACTCAAGAGCACCTGCTCCAGCAGCCATGACCTTGAATATGAGCTTAACCTTCTGCAGTATGTCGTCACCAACTTCAACCAGTACCCAAGACCATTACTCCAGCCAAACCCCTGCTTCCGCCCTTTACTCCTCAAGCTACCCTACATCGGCAAAACCTCTCATTAGATCAGCAGAGTACTTAAGTACCAAGCAGGCATCGACGTAATCTTCAATGACTACCCATCTCTCCCACTCCCCAAAAGCAAGTAGTTATCTACAAGATTAGATGTGAATGTGGTTGCTAGATGAAACCTCCAGCATTGTAGATACACGGATTAAAGAACATAGAACGCCAGCAGCCAAAGCAGACAGCACTCTCAAACCACCAACAAAAGTTCTCCGCCATCAAATTCAGTTTGACGAAGACGAAAACCTATCCACCAATAACTAGGACTCACGAAAATAGAACTCTTGGAAGCCATCGAAACTATTCATCCAGCGCATTACCTGCTTTTTTCGCTATTTAATTGTTCCTGTAAATTGGACCGCCGCCATATAGCTGGAATATTGCTCTCTCACTCACTCCTGTAAATTGGCTTCATGACTTGTGCTCTTTGTTGTTCTCATCTTTCACCTGGCCGCATTCAGTTATGTACTGTTATCAATTACTTGTTGTGATAATCTGCTGCATGTCATAACATACTATATATATATAGGTATATTTAACTCTCATATCTAACTTGTAGTCACTCTTAGCCTCATAACGGTTCAAACTCTTCTTCACTTCACTAACCAATTCGTAAGCCGCCGATCAAATGCATTTAGCTATACAAGACACCCAAACACAAGTGGTGAAATATGTTTCTCAGTCGTTTCTCCACTCTGTTGAACTCATCACCTCTCTTCATCAGAACTTCCACACTTCCGACCTTTTAAAACCTTTTCTTTACTATCTGCAACCACAGGCAACTGTAGCGCACATAAGGTTGCGCAACAGAACAAATAATTACCAGTCCTCCTACATGCGAGCGAAGCGAGCAAAGGTTGGCAACGTACTTCCCTCGCTTCGGTTTGAAATATATTTTTGATGTCAAAACAAAATATCGCCACCATCAAAGGTAGACACCCATTTCCTCACAGGGTTGTGCTCTCAGATTTCCAACCTCATATTTAATTATTAGTCACAAAGAATACATTTCATTCAATATTTTAAGCGCCACTCGTAGCATATCAAATCGTTCTTCGCTTCCATTACCCCTAGACCAGCTTCCGGTTCAATGGAATGAAGGAACCACACTCCGGCGCAGTGATGACTTAGCATAATAGTACTATGCTGGCTGGCCGCATGGAACTCTGGGTAGGAGAGTGTGAAGGAACTAGAATAAGCAGATATTAAAAAGAAATGTCATATTGCCTAATTTTACCATTTAACTGTTGAAGATCATTTGTCACATTTGCCGTCGTTATTGTTAGAATCTTCGTAACGGTTATTCTTAAAAATACGAAACACTTCTGACGTAGCGGGTGAATGAAAGCAAGGGAGGTAACTCCGCAAGTATTCCAAATGCGGACATGTAATTCAACAAGTATTATTAGAGTTAACTCCCCTGTTCCTTCACTCCTTCGGCTCCGGAAGCTGGCAGGGGTAATGGAGGGTCTACCTTTTATGGTGGCGATATTTTATTTTGACATTAAAAATATTTTTTCAACCGAAGCGAGGAAAGTACGTTGCCAACGTTTTCTCGCTTCGCTCGCATATAGGAAGACTGGTCATTTGCGCTACAATTAGCCTGTGCTGCGACAGACTCCTCACAGCGGCGATACACAACCTAATTATTACAAAGAAATAACACGAGACGAGAAAGCGTTAAAATGAGAAGAAATACAGTTAACTTGAGACGAGAAAGCTATATCACGACATGCAAGATGGGTTAACATAAGACGAAGAAGGCTATACCACGAGATGTAAAATGCGTTTACATGAGACCAAAGAGAGTGAGTGAGTTTAGTTTTACGCCGCATTCAGCAATATTCCAGCTATATGGCGGCGGTCTCTAAATAATCAAGTCTGGACCAGACAATCCAGTGATCAACAGCATGAGCATCGATCTGCGCAATTGGGAACCGATGACATACATGTGTCAACCAAGTCAGCGAGCCTGACTACCCGATCCTGTTAGTCGCCACTTACGACAAGCATAGTCGCCTTATGTGGCAAGCATGGTTTGCTGAAGACCTATTCTACCTCGGATCTTCACGGGTAAGACCAAAGAGAGTTACTATGAGACGAAAAAGCTATATCTCGATATATAAATGCGTTAACATGAGCCGACAAAAATCTATACCTCGAGATGAAAATCCTTTTTCATGAGAGCGAATGAGAGGCGAAAAATGCTACCATGAGACGTGAAAACTAAAAGTCTGTTTGGGTCAAAATGATACCGATGAATCACGATTTGTAATTCCAAATGGATTCATGATCAAACACTCATTTCAACGCAGAATGTAATAAAAACATCAGACCAACTCTGGAAAAAAGTTTCATAACGTTTGTCTCCAAAATAAAAAAAAAGTTACTTAACAAACTATCATCATTTTGTTTTGATTTTCCGTGTGAAGTTTTACGAGGGTAAAGTAACAGTAGATAAAGTTATGTCCCCTCCCGAGTACTTATAACCAGTCCCTCACCGCACTTACCAAACACATAGAAGGCTGATGGCCAGCCCCCCGCGAACCCGTGTTCACAGAGGAGGCCAGTAAGCGGCATAGCCAGCACCGTACCTACTTGTGCCCCTGCAATTGATACACAATTAATTTAACATGGTTATAAACTGACGAGCAAAAGAAAGTACACAGGTGTAATTGTTGCTGCAATCACAAATATGCGTTCTAACTAATAAAATTATTGAAAAACATTGATTGTATAGAACGCAACCATCATGTTTCATTTGCCAAAATGCAACCAAAAAATTTTGTACGTGTTTTGCACGAATTTTTGCAAAATTGTGATTATTGTCCCATGCACCAGCACTTTTCTGACAGAGAGTATAAAACCTGTTTGTCGTGAAGACTGAACAATCACTTGACAGAAATCTCACGAGGAAATGCCAAGATTGACGTCGTCGCAACGAGAACAGGCCAAAGGAATGACACAAATGGGTTCTTTCAACAGCGATATTGCAAGGACATTGGGTTGCACAAGACAAACCATAATTCGTCTGTTTAACCGTTTCAGTACGACAGGCCAGACATGTGATCGACCCAGAAGTTGACGTTCCAGAGTCACAACACCCCAAGAGGATCGCTATCTGCGGGTTATTCACCTACGCAACTGGATGTTGACGGTGACGTCATCAGCAGCCACATCATTGGGTCATCGCGTAAGCCGATTCACAGTGACAAGACGACTTCGTCCTGCTGGCATGTATGGGCCTACCGACCGCTGCGTGGAATGGCCTTGACCTTCCAGCATCGTAGGAACCGTCTGCAGTGGTCATCACTACATCGCTGTTTATTGTTACAATGTCATTTTGCTGATAAAACACGTGTATTGCAGTGTGCTTCCACATACATTTTCCATTTCATCAAAAGGTTTTGTTATTTTATCTTACTGGAAGAAACACAACCTGTGTACTTTCTTTTGCACATCAGTTTATATTTAATGCGTTAGAATATTGAATGTTCATGAATTAAATATTTGTTTTAGATTGTTTATTGCATAAAGAGTGGTTGCTAATTGAAATAATATTGTTTTCTGACTCTGAATTAAATCAATACATGTTTGGTCACATTAACCAGTTGTGAAAGTAGTGAGTGAGTGAGTTTAGTTTTACGCCTTACTCAGCAATATTCCAGCTATATGGCGGCGGTCTGTAAATAATCGAGTCTGGACCAGACAATCCTGGGTTCAACAGCATGAACATCGACCTACGCAATTGGGAACCGATGACATGTGTCAACCAAGCCAGCGAGCCTGACCACCCGATCCCGTTAGTCGCCTCCTACGACAGCATAGGTTACTGAAGGTTCATTCCAACCCGGATCTGCACGGGTTTGTAAAAGTAGCATTTAATAACATACAATAGTTGAATCATGAATGTCTCAAATTACATAGAATAATCTGATTCGTTGTATCTTAAATCATTCTGTAACGTGTCTGTTTTCAAATTGTCGACGAATTATGTCCAAAACGTAGGTTGGTAGTTCGTTAAAACGTACAGTTTCCACGACAAGGTGTAAAGATCCACACCAAAACAAAGCTAAAAGGAGATAATGGTGTCCATATTTTGTCCATACAAAGAGAATACATAATGGTGACATGCATTACCTGCGTATGTAAAGGCGACAAGTCGACTCCTTTCTTTAACAGGAGCCCATTTGGACCACAGTGAATGGATAGATGGAAACGCGAAGCCCTGAAAATGTAAGTTATAAAATATATTGTCTGCTGCAAAACCTACAGCCTCATTGACAACAAAAGGTTAAAAGTTACATTGTTCTGAAAAAAATAAAATAGATCTATCATTTGTTCGATTATGTCGGTATTTTGTCATTATTTCTTTCTGTTTCTACACTGGAGTGACACTATACCTGAGCCATACCCTGCAACACCCTGACGGCGATGAGGGCGTACACGTGGAGAGAGGCTGCTGCCGGTGTCACAAGCGTCAAGATGGAGGTGACGAGTACGGCGAACCCGAACGTCCGCTTTCCCCCCACCAGCTCCGCTAAGCCAGCCCCCTAGCACCTGGGTCAGACAGTACCCGTAGAAAAACGACCCTAGCACATGACCTTGTAGCTGTTCGTCCCAGTTAAAATCACCATCCTGAAGAGTAAAATAGATAATTGCATGCGATTAGTCTCTCCCCTACGTGAGAACCCCGTTATTCCACATCCCCAGGACATGGGTGCAGGACAGGACTGACTGCTTGATATTCTGATGGGAAACTCGTATTTGTTTCAGAAAATACTGGCAGAATATAATTTTGCCGCAGGGTTTACTAAACGTGAGTTTTCATCTGAATGAGTTGGGTTTAATTCTTATGACGCGATTCCAGTTATATCACGGCAAGTCAGATTAATGTTTGAGGAACGCGTGATGCAGGTCTAAGTCGATCTCCACTTTGGTCAAATCCATGAACAAGGGTATGAAACTGACAAACACAATCAGGGCCCATTCGGAATCGGACCCGCGATCATAGGTTCCTGGTATGCCCAAGGGACGCAACTCTGCAGAGCAAATCGCGCAACTCTGACTAATGCTTCGCTGGGGATGCTGAATGCTCTAAAAGAGATACGTTGCCAAAATGAATATATTTTAATCTCCTCATAGAGAAAACGGTTAACATCTTCAACAGCATGTTTTTGTGATGCAAACTAAGACGATCATTCACATATCATGCCATACTCCATTTGTATGCTACAGAACTCCCACCACATGCCCATTATAACTGTGTTAGTGTCCAGAAAAAACAAAACTTCTTAACCAAATGGTGCTCTTATATAGTTTGGCCTAGCAGATTAAACCAGAGAAACCTTTCGTTGTAAGGTGTGGTTATACAGGAATATTACCTTCATGGTGACTAATGAACATATATACATGTAGGTCCAAACTGGTAGGATAAAACTAGGATCAGGTTGGCAGAAAGGGTAACTTGGGTGACTCTGGGTAACCTAACGCAGACAACAACGGGTATCCTTGCAAATTACTTACAGGTCGCTGTAATATTTCGGTGATAGCGCTGCCGGTTTAAAACAACATTCATTTACTCATCCCTTCACTCACTGGGAAGCGTGCACTGACCATTTTAAAGACTACCCCGTCTGTGTCGCTTTCTGGAAAGTTGGATTATTCGCCTACCTTGGCCTCCTGAGCTGGCGACCCATTGTTTTGTAGTCCACACTCATCGTTGCTAGGCGATGTATTCAACACAAGGGTGTAGTTCACCATGGCAACCAGAGCGACGCTGAGATTGACTCTGAGCGTGAAGAGATTAACGCAGCCTAGGAATGCCAGGCCAGCAAGCACGTGACGCGCGGGTACGTGTCTGTACAGACCTATAACGACAATACAAATTGATCAACTAAACATAACTCGCCGTCAAGAACTTGTGGGTTTATAATATTTGATTGAAATAACGTAACGGACAATGAGAACTCCATGACAAGAGTTTATAGGACGTAATGACGCCTCCAGTATTCGGGGGCTTAAGAGTTGTTGACACATGTGTCACAGAAACAGATTGACCCCAGATTGGTTGAACTGTAGCTGAACGCATAGAACCAAACAAACCAATCAATAATGGTAAAACATTGCAGATGCACTCTAACGGATATGGCATACGTTTAACTGCATACCGCCCGACTGATTTCACTGTTTACAAGCCATTGGCGTGTTGACGTACGTGTACATGCATACTAAAAAGTTCATGGGGTATTTTTATAGTGAAGACGGAGCATACGATTTTATAAAATATCAGCAGAAAGATTCATGATGCCTATACTCTTTCAGTATATTTATACTCAATTTCATGGAACAAACGTTCCTTAATGGTCAACACTCAGAGCCTAGAAAATAAATTAAACACTCCTAATCAAGTTTTGAATGATCGGGCAAGTTTTGACGATTTCTACGAAATTTAGCTTCAGATTTGAGGAAGCTCCGGCATTTTGTTTCGTAGATACTTTTTCCTACACTCTTAAATAAATGGCTTTATTTCTGGGACTACATGCCAGTCTGAGAAGACCGCAGACACGACTATACACAAGTACCTCCAAGTTAACTTGTTCTTGTATTCCCGGATCACTGACTAGATACATACGTATTCTTGTCGTTTTTCATAAACATGAGCTGACATTAAAACTTTCATCAGGTACAAGGTTTTTCAAGTGAAACAGTCTTGTTTGTGGACGACTGTTTACTTCCTAGAATTTCGGGGAATTACCTTTGGGATCGCCGTGCCTTTAAAAGGCTCTCAGACAAAGCAGGAATAAAAAGCAGAGCTCATGTATTTATACCGCCCATAAAATATGCTGGTGATATTTATGGAAGTTTGATAAGGTTGATAGCCAAAGCAAGATAAAGTTAATTAACAGTCGATGTAACAGAAATGTTAAGTTCATGTTGATTTCCTTTGTTAATCGTTCTGGTTTTGTCAGCCATGACAGCAGCATCGTGGCACCTAGGTGATAAGCGCTGTGTGTTTGGGACACAAAGAACAGTGACTTGACATTAAATAAACTCTCCAGTCGATTGCCCTGTTGCGACTGACTGAATGCTATACTGTAACACATGTTATATTTGGGATCACTCTTTCTCAGTAAAGTACAGAGTCAAGTACTTTGGGTTCGTGTGCTGCGATTAGGTGCCTGACTCTGAGATTGCTTATTACACGTTTACATGCACACATATTTTCCTACATTCCAACACACGCGTTTATGTTTTCTTTACATATCCCTGTTCTGAAACATCTTTGTACATATGAAGACGATCTATGTTTAGCGAGGAAAAACATCCATATTTTTAAAGTTATGTAAGTCAGTCATAACGAGTTTGAAAATTATATTCCGATCATTCACGTATGAACTGGTGCAATAGTGACATGCATAGGAATGATATACTTCTTTATATGTATAATCTATACAAAATACTGTATTAGAAGCATTGTACATTCTTTATTAAAAATACATTTCAATATTAACCCACAAAACGCACACATTGCGGTATGATTGTAGGCGGTCGAGCATTTACATTATTTTTAATTGTTCGTTGTTTAACGCCGCCGACGGTCTGAAAATAATCAAGTCTAGACGAGATACTAGAGGGATCATAAGCATGAGCATCGATCTACGCAATCGGGATACGATAACATGAGTCAAACAAGTCAGCGAGTCTGACCACCCGATCCCGTCAGTCGCCTCTTACGACACGCCTTGGTTGCTGAAGACCAATTCTAACCGGGGCTAGCATTTCCAAGAAACAACATGTGTCTAGAATCATAATGTACAAAAACATCCACTTGCGACATGGTACAAAAGTAGAACGTTTCTATGGCATAGGGATAGAATCATGGCTAATTTACATAGCGTAAATGTATGAAAACATGATGAGCATAAGAATACAGTCGACAAGACCTGTCTATGTATGGAGAGATTTTAACGCTGCATGCAGTATACATGTTACAGTGAATATGTCAAATCAGTGATTTTGTAGAATCACTGAAAATTTCAGGGAATTCATAAAATTCCTGATTCACTCGGTGGTTTCACAAAATCCCTGGAATTCCTAGGGATTTAACAAAATCCCTGAAAATCACGACAATTTTCTTACATATTCCCTGAAATGAATATATCGTCCAGTTCCAGAAGAACTCCAGTTATTACAGTGGCATCAAGATGACACCCTTCGCTGTTTTTACTGGCCCTGATGGTCTCAACTCGTCCAGTCTCCAAGCAGAGGCTGTTTTTAGACTTCGAAGCGAGGATGACCTACTCAACGCCCTGCCGTCAGATACAGTACCTTTGGCAGATCAACAATGAGAATCAGATCATGATCAGATCAGATCATCTTGAGCAAGAGCAATCAAGTGCCGCAAGAGCACAACAAGAGCCGCAAGCACAACGAGAGCCACAACCAGAACAAGAGCCGCAACCAGAACAAGAGCCGCAACCAGAACACTCTCCATCAACAGACCTTATTGCTGAGAGACATAAAGACATCAGTGAACACAGGTTGCGGTGGGTGACAATGTGACGATACCAGTTCCTGGTGTTGACAGAGGGAGAGACGATCCAAGGAATGTGCACGGAGTTTTATGGACAAAACTGACAACTGCATGTACACACTTGCTGTAGAATCCGGTGTCTTGTGTGGAAACTACTCACGCAACCAGTTTGATGTGTGTGCCACATCTCTATACAACTGCAGATATGTCGACTGAGAATCTTGTATCGCTGAGATCTGCAGTCCAGTCAGAGTCTGTATATGGTGGACAGGGTTTTGTGAAATGTAACTGTAGTGGAAAAAAAGATGCCAGCCACAAAGGTGCAAATGTTACGAGGCTCGGGTTATGTGTAACTCGCGATGTCACTCTTCCCTATCTTGCAAAAATAAATGTTGATACATATGAGCGTCGTTTGACTGACGTGACTTTGTTTCAAAAAGATATCACAGAAGGTACTCTGATCCATTGCATGGTTATGGCAATTGAACACTGATGCAACATGTGATACTGATAGATATTGTTTGTGTCACTTTTGTCTTTACTTATTACAAGCAGTATTGTCAAAACAAACACCGAGAATGCGATATATTCATTTAAGGGAAAATGTAAAAAATATTGTCAATTTTTTCAGGGATTTTGTTAAATCCCTAGGAATTCCAGGGATTTTGTGAAACCACCGAGTGAATCAAGAATTTTATGAAATACATGTGCCTGAAATTTTCAGTGATTTTACAAAATCACTGATTTGACATATTCACTGTCACATACATAGATCTATATTTGTGAGACAGCAAGATCTAGTTATTATTGATGCACAGGGGTAAATATCAGTGTTATCCAGTTTTTATTATCACATTTTTCTGGTCAAAATGTGGAAAAGGCTTCTGACAACATATCTTCTACATGTTTTTAGAGGGATCCAGTTTCTGAACAATATATCAGACATAAATATGTTTAAACCGAATTTTCATATCACAAACAAACGCACACACACTTGCATACTTCTTACATCGTGTCGCATTGGAGATATAGACTATAGCCCTTAAACAAAGGCTCACGCTTCAGTGGCTAATGCTAATTACCTGGTTCGCATCTCTCACCTAGCCATAGTGCAGTGTTGTCTTAACAAGACCTATTTGGATAGACTCTGGCTAAGTGAGAGTGACATTGACAGAAACCTGAAAACTAACATATCACTTTCATTAATCAAGTTAGAAAGTTGAAAAATGCTTTTTATGAATGTTTTCACATATGGGGAATGCAATGCAATACTCAGTTTTGTGATTAAATTGGAAGAAAATGATTGATTTGCATACCTACTGCAAAATTTATCATTTTGAACAATGAACAATGAATGAATTTTGAATATTCAGATGGTCAAAAACCGTCCTTCCCCATCCCATTTGATCTTATTCCCATTTGTTTAAACATGTCAAAGCCAAGGGCGACATATTATGGATGCAATATGAATTTTGACTCAGTAAAACAGGGCACTTACAACTAACAATGACACAACTTAAGGTAAGTGTTTTAAGAACAATATGTGTATTTGCGGAATCACGGCAATAGAAAGAATACAAATTGTTTACTGGTGTCTGCTGTCCTAGCAGTATACACAGTAAAGGTTGTAAGCATTCGCATATTCCCATTCATATCTGGTGTTCTGGCAGTTGTTGTTAAAGGTCACATGCAACCAAAAAATCAAACATAATTAAAACACAATTATAACTTATTCATGACATATAATATACATTGCTGGTGATGAAAAAACATATAAACAAAATTATAAGCGTACAATCGCAAATCAAAAGTGCAGTATTGTGTACTTGGGTTTACTTCCCAAGAAACGAAGCAGCCGGGATGCCGAACCCAGTCAGAGCGGGTGGGTGTGCACTCAAGTGTAACGGCTGGTTCATTTGCAGATGCCCTCACGGCTCATTGTGTGTGTATATATAGAGATGTTGGGTTTTGTAAATACATGCTCATTTTTTGTGTGTAACATTTTGCAATCAACAGACATCATAACTTGTCATGTGTTCAAGTATCACACCTGCCTGTCTGTGTAATTACATAATGTGACAGAGACCGAACTCGGGCCATAAATCAATGCGTTTTGTTTATGGTGTATAGCCTGATTGGTGTTAAGTTAAAATTGCATGTGGTCAGTGGTCGCAGTTGTGTATTGAATATTGTCATTAGCAGACAGGCAGGCAGACACACAGGGGTCAATAAAACAAGACATTGAGTTTTGTCTGTGACAACGACATATCTATATCACAGTTAGAAATTCTGTCAACGCTAAATAAAGACATTGCTTTTAAGTATCGAATTGAG